GAGTTTGTATGAGCGCCGTCTGGAGCAAGGCCAGGAGAAATATCCACAGACTCCAGTGATAATTTTCAGATCGATTTGGGATATCCCAGATCGTCTATCGATGAAAGGAGAAATGGGGTGAAGGTTTGAGTAGTGTCTTTCGATTCACATCATGAACCACCACCAATCTCAATACCGTCACCAGGCTCGAATGTCGAGGGATCGAAATTGAAATCCCCGTCGGTCGTTGTCAAGAACTGTTCGAAATCAAAGTTCTCAAGTATGTCCGGATTGTTGAGATCGCTGTTGAACGGCATGCTGTATGAATCCTATAGAAGAGCACGGATTAGATGGAGTTGAACGTGAGTTTAGGTGATTGAAGCTCTTACATCGACTCCTGCATCAAGACCGTTGAACCCGGACATTGCTGTATCCTGTTGCTGTGGAGCAAGCTGATCGGGAGCAGCCGAGGTCATGCCTGGCATCATATTGGCTGGACCTTGACCATCAGCCTTGGATGGCGCAAATGAGGCGGAATGCTGCGGTGTGACTGGGGTTGCAGGCGTAGGAGTAGGTGGTTGCTCAGCCTCAGAAGCTGGAGTGGGAGGCACACTGGCCGTTGAGTTCTTCTTCGTTGGCTTCTAAATTGTATACGTCAGAACAATCCTCATGTTTACTGGGCTTCTCAAGAAAAATGGAAGAAGAAAAAGGATTACCTTTCGTTCCCTCTCATTCTTCTTGCCCTTGGGGTTTGCTTTGCTTGTTGTTTGAGGAGTAGGGGGAGCTGTGGGAGAAGCTGGACGGCCATTTACAGCGGGATTGGGAACAGCCTGTGGTGGAGGCATCTCATTCCGCTGTTGCGGCGTTCCCATCTGTACGCCTTGCTGGGGTTGAGGCGCCTGGATCATCGGCGCTTGACCTGGAGGTCCCTGCTGCCAATTTCCATTCATCCTACCCCCATTCTGCGTTTTTGAAATTGCCACCATTTGTTCTGGGGTATAATTCTGTCCGTTGTTAAATTGAGGATGGGAGCTGGGTGGCGGTCGCATGCCACCGCCGTTCATGTGCGGATACATTTCTTGTTGCATTGGGTTGAAGGGCATCGCTGCAGGAGACCCTCGCATGCTTCCGTCAGGCATCGGTGACCCCGGCAATCCTGCAGTCTGCGGCATCTTCGGCGTACCTCGTCTCGCCTGGTCGCTCGGACCTGGTGATGGACCACCTCGACTTCCTGAGGGGGACATTCCTGGAGCAAAGCCCGGCGCACCGGGCATCCCACCCGGTCCGTCGGGCCTGCCACTACCGATCGTATCTTGCTCTTGCCGAGCCATGAGTAACCGTTTTTTGTTTTGTTGCTCGAGGAGCATCAGCTGCATTTGATAGTCTTGTAGTGCGTGGTTTCCTCCGGCCCCACCGTTTGGCGCCCCAGGTGGGACGCCACCTCGCATCTGCATCGCACCAGGATTGGCACCGCCGTAGTATTCCGGTCCTCCGACTCCTCCTAGGTCCATACCTGGAGGCATAAGAGGTGAGCCCTGATCTGACATACCACCAGCGTTTGACATACTCTGTTGACGCTGATTCTTTGCAAGGTTCTGGGCATACACTTGGATTGATTTTTGCTGGACAGCGGGGTTTTGCTGCTGGAAGGAGGCAAACTGGGAATCGGATAAATTACCTGGATTGATTCCATTGTTCATCAACAAATGGTTAGCATTGAGTGCCGAATCCCCTCCCATCATCTGCCCTGGCATTCCTGGTGGACCTCTACCATTTGGCATCATATGTTGTGCGCCGTTGAACTGGACGCCATCCATGCGTTGTCTCTTGTTGGGCGAAGGTGCATGGTCCCCAGCAGAAGGTGTGCGTGGTCTCTGTCCATTCATGTCCATGTCTGAGGGATCCCTACGCATTCCTTGCATCATACCCTGGCGCTGCATTTGGGCTATTTGTTGCGCAGTTCTGTAGAATACCCGTTAGAGCATAAATCTCGACAAGCTTCTTGTAGAGGAACAAAGGACAAGGACCATGACCCCAGGGAGATCTTCGACGGGTAGACTTACGGTTGAAATTGACCGCGGTTGTTCTCTAAAGCCTTCCGCTGCAAATTTCCATTTGTGGCATTGTTAAATCGCAGCATCTGCTGATAGCCTTCGAGCTGGCCAGGACCCATCCCAGGCATGGCCCGCAGCATTTGGGTTTGCTGCTCTGAGCGCATCCGGGCTTGTTGCTATGAGGTGGATTAATCGACGCAGAAGGGAGAGAGTGAGGAGCACGTACCTGAGTTTGTGTCACATACTGCGAGGCGTTGGCACTCCCCCGGGTGTTCTTTCGCTGCGCCCAAAATATGTCCCAGAACACCGCGAACCAGCTCGAGAGGAACGAGCCTCCTTGTCCATCACACAGGTGCTGAAAATCAGGAAGATCATCGGGTCTTTTCAGATCTATGCCATCTTTGGAATCTGTCTGCATGCTGTCGTTTGCGCCGTTGGTATTGTCATTCACCAGAGGGGGTTCAAATTCCACCCCGCTATCCTTCAGCGCCCTCGCCAATTCCCATTTGCCTTTAACACAAAAATAGCCGTATATGTAGGCGTTGAGTTTTGCTTCGTAGTTGTTGTCCTCATGATCATCGGGTATCCTGCTACCGACACCGTTGGGCCCATGATTTGGCATGGGCATGTTCCCGAGCGCACCGTTACCGGCGTTGAAGCCACCCATATTCATTTGATTCATATCGGTGAGGGAATTGCGGTAAGCTATCCCTCTAACGCGATGGGTTGCGACTTCGAGAAGAGTTTGAAGGATATCAGTGCCAAGGATTCATGAGTGGTGGGTTGAAGTCCGGGTGCCGAGTCGCACAAAGCTGACAGAAACTGGTGAGGGGAGCGGAGAGCGATGTAAGGTTCGTGATGATATCTGTACTTCCCCGGACTATGTTTCGGAGGCTTGACAGCCTCTAGAGACGGCAGCGGAAGTTTGGCGGTGCGCTTGAAGTGTAATCTTTCAGGTACTGCAAGAAGATCGATCTTGCTGCGGCAATTTGCGACCGTGGGCTAGCTGAAGCTGATACTGTGATAGCCACCCCCGGACAGCACTGAGAAGCAAGTGAGGTAAGCCAAAGCAAATGAATGATGTGATCGCCAACACAGCTATCAGTATGTATTACCAGACACTCGGGATGTCTCGACTGTTACTGAGTGAGTGGCAGGTATAAGAGGTTCGTCTTTCGTCGGGGCGGGATCATGATTGAGGCGCCAATCCCCGCTAGCCTCATTACAGGCATGCCCTAACCCTACTTTATACGGCTCAACTTCGATGTTTTAATAACACCTCATCTACATGTACTGTGGTGCTTAACGCAATCAAGGTTTCTGCCAAGCCTGTGCAAGACGTCAAATAGGCATCGCTATAGGAGAAAGTGTAAGACGCAAAACGGATCTCCAAGCTTCTTCGACTCAGCAACACCGTTTTCAGACCGACGTACTGGAGATGGAGTCTGCCGAGTCCTGGTGAAGAAGCATACAGTGTCTGTGTGACGTTCTAGAGTGTTCCAGATAGACGGCGGGTACCATTCGAAGCGGATGTTCGGGTTCCGTCCGGAGAGTCAAGGCCGAGCGGAGCCGAATATTTGCGTAGAAGAGACAGCCGTTAGCTGCAGTGCCTCTCATCAACTCACCGCTCCTACGGCCGTTGCAAGTAATGTCCAAGATTGGATGAAGTGTCAAGAACATATGCGTCCGACATCTTTGACTCGGTTTGAGGAGTTCTGCCCGGGCTCGGAAAGTTGAATCACTACATGGCTCGGACTTGACTAGGGCAAGTATAGATGTGTTTCATTCGTCGTCTGGCGGCATTTCATCTTCAACGTATCTCAACAATGTGATACGCATCTCTGTAATATCGTTACCTCTCAGCACGTCGCTGACGTAGTGTGCTTCAACCTGCATTTGGACCTATCGTAAATGTGAGCTTGAGGAACACAAATAGCGGTCAAAAGCATGACCGACCATCTCCAGCGCTCCTCTCAGTATACCACACAAGATGTTCGAGTACCACAGCTCATCTTGGGCACGTCCGTCGTCTGGTAGCTCGACAAAGTCCGCCAATGGGTTCTCTTCAAAAATCAAGGAGAACTGTTTGTTATCGGCCGTCCAATTCGTCACCGTGGGTGTAATATTGAGAAAGATCTTAAATCCTACCTAGCAAGGCTTTAGCTTCAGATATTGTTTGTAGCTAAGTGTCTCTCGAAAATCTGGGGAGCCCTTTTGCACACACTTTGGATATAGTCTCTGCAGTCTCTCTCAGGTTGGCACATCTTTGAGTACCAGACTTGGCGAAGAAGTCCTCAACCAGACGCATGCCGATGTTGTATCCCATTTTATCCAACTGTTTATTGACTTCCGCATAGTTGCTGTCAAAGTCTGAGCAGAGCTGAGCTACCATCGTACCATAGGTTAAAGTAACGAGCTCGGCATTGACCTTATCCACTCGGGTCCTTCGTAGGGTCAGACTTTCGTCGAGGCTGGCGGACAGGTGTAGCGCAATGCGGAAAGAACAGAGGAGTGGATCGAGCTCCAGACAATGGACTTACTTCCATACCCTATGGGACACTTAGTAATGCACGGTCCTTAAGATGGTCGTGGTGGTACATACTCTTCTCCAACCCTTGCGGCTTTTGTTGATGCCATAGCCGCTCACTTATGTCAAGTCAGACCATCAAGGCGAAGTATCGGGATTTCTGATTCGGCAAAGTGGCTCTATGCAATAGTGTCACACTCTGAGAGCTGCCTTTTCAATGAAGAGCAAGAGAGAAAGAGCTGGGCTGACATCGAGCGCGGCTAGTCGCTAGCGCTAATGATTCAGCCTTATCAAAACCGTTTCCGCCAAGACAACGCTTCGAGTAACTCATTTTGCGATACGGAGTCAATCTAATCATGAAATCCGTCTAGCGATGTGCCGCCAGTCAAGCAATTCAACTTCCCCCTAATTGCCCCATTCTGACAACCACTACACCCAAAATGTCAGCAGCAAAGCGCCCTGCATCGAACTCCTTTGGGTCATCCCAAATGGTAGTGAAAAGGCAGAAGTCCAATACAGACATCAATGGCAAAGCCGTGGCAGTCACGAATGGTGGCTCTGGATCTGGGGCCCTCATCCAAGCTGTAAGCTTCCCACTTCCCAACAACTGCAAAATACCGCTCGAACGTGTGCTGAACTGTCACGAAAAGAAGGCCGGCTGATGGATCGGTGTGCCTAGGTGCCACGCACAAGCGGACTACAGGCCCCCATAATGGAGCTCACCGGTCAGTATCTCCTCCCAGTTCCCGATCAACGCTCATATTGACAACCCCCAGGCCACTTCGGCGAAGTCTTCGCCGTCCGCTTCGATCCCTCCGGTCAATACATAGCTTCCGGCTCCATGGACCGGTCCATAATGCTCTGGCGCACCTATGGCTCCTGCGAAAACTATGGCATTCTAAACGGCCACAAAGGCGCCGTTCTCGACTTGCACTGGTCCCGCTCCTCCAGTAACGTTTTCTCCGCCTCTGCAGACACGACGCTCGCGTCTTGGGATCTGGAGACAGGGTTGCGAATACGGCGGCATGAGGGGCATGAGGAGATTGTCAATTGTCTTACCGCCTCGCCGAGAGGGGAAGAGATACTTATCTCGGGCTCCGATGATGGTTGTGTGGGGATCTGGGATCCCAGGGTGAAAAGAGCCGTGGATTTTATCGAAACGGATTTCCCCATCACTAGCGTCGCAGTCGCAGAAGCAGGAAATGAAATCTACACCGGCGGCATCGACTGCGATATCCTCGCCTACGACATCCGAAAAAAAGCAGTCGCATACCGCATGCCTGGTCATACCGACACCGTCACTTCCCTCTCCATCTCTCCGGATTCACAGTCTTTGCTGAGCTATTCCCATGACGGTTTAGCAAGGACGTGGGATGTCAGACCTTTCGCGCCTGTCGACCGAAGCTTGAAGTCCTTCGCAGGGGCGCCAGTCGGTGTGGAGAGGAATCTTGTGAGGGCGTGCTGGGATGGGAAGGGAGACAGGGTGGGGGTGGGCAGCGGTGATGGTACTGTCTGTGTTTGGGAAGCGAGGACAAGTAAGCTGGTCTATAAGTTGCCGGGGCACAGGGGCACGGTCAATGACGTGCGTTTTGCGCCTGGGGATGAGCCGATTAGTGAGTCTGCTCTTTCAGATCTTGCAGGAATTTCGCTAATGGGTGGCAGTTGTGAGCGGCTCGTCAGATCGAAATTTAATACTCGGAGAATTGGGGAGCTAGCATTGATTAAAAGTGTTGTCAACTTGACATCCATGCCCGTTCTATACAGTAGAAAATCCCCAACTTCGCCAGCTCTTGATGCCTTGAGTAACGCCCATCGTCCCTTTACCTTCATCGCTACCGACTCCGCAACCTTTCCGAAGCGTTTTCGGAGTAGCTGACATTCAGGCTTGCTCCTCAACCACCCCTCAATTCGATCTCGCCATCCTAACGGTACCACCTCTCGAGAGCACCGTCCCCGCCGCCCTTCTCTCCGCAAGCAACGGCAACGGAGCCGCCACCGGCTCAGGCTCCAGTACACCCTCGACTGACGCAGGTTTCGGAGTCAGCATTGCTTCTTCAAGGTAGGTAATGGAGTTGCTAGACAGGTCTCGGGAGTGGAAGGGTCCTCTCGCTCCCGAAACATGTCTTGCGACTCAACCTCAATACCACATGGGAACGATCGGGTCGGAAACAAACGTACCGCGGTCATCAAACACACCCTCCGTCCGATCATGGGAAGTATAGCTAGGTGGTCGATGCCCAGTCCCGGCAAAGATCATCTCTCTCGCTTCTTGCTGCACATCATTGTTGTCTCTAACTGCTTGCCAGTGGATGAGGTTTGGGTCGGCGCGCTACAGTGAGGCAAGTCAGCATACCTTCAAGCCAACCAGTTAAGAGGACCAGAGTAGACGTACCACACTGCTCCTCCATAGACCATAAGCCGGCGGTGGCGGTGGCAGTGCTTCGTCTATATCCTCCTCCTCAACCCTGCGATTATCATCATGCAACCCCAACTCTTCATCTCTCGCCAACACAACAGGAATTGGCTGTCTGGGCTGCGCGAATCCGGCTTCTTCATCACCATTGAGCGGTGACTGACATTTGCGAGCGCGAGCGAAGCGCATTCGGGGTTCGAAGGCCAGCATGCAGAGACGGATCAGGTAGTGGCAGAAGAAGATGGTAAGGACAAGGATGAAGAAGATGAAGAGCCCATGGAAGGTGGCGCCGCGGAGGGATTCAGATATTGCAAGGGCGAGGTCTGTAGGTTATTAGTGGAAGCTTCGCATGTGGGTAGCATGCGTTGGGACGAGGGTGGAAGGACTTACATGTTGTCAGAACGATGGTCAACAAGGTGCCGAAGAAAAGACAACCGATTATCTTCTGCCTCATCTTCGAATCCTTGATCTGCGGAAAGCAAAGCCGCTCGTTCTTCGCAGGCGCTCGTCTTGACTTCTGCTGATGACGTCTCTTGCTGCAACGCTCACGAGGCGCGGAGCCCAGTTCTGCACACAGCCTTTCCAGATAGACCTCGTGTCTTGAGTCAGATCCGTATGTGGGTTGCCTTGGGCCATAGGTTGGCGAATGTACTGGATCTATCAGTCCGCGAGTTGAGGGATACGATCTTATGCCAGGCGCATGGCGTTGGTGTCCTCGCTCAGCTGCAGCGAAACAATAGGTGCTGGTGTGCGAGGTCTTCCTGGTATGGATGGGAGGTCTCCTACCACTATTGTCACGGACCGAAGAGCCGTGAAGCCATCCGGAAAGCCGAGAGCCACGAGGAATGCGCTGAGTGGCGATGAACCGATCCATCCTTGAATGCTGACCTGGAGCGAGAGAAGGCGTTGCTGAAGGTTCTTTCTTTAAGATCGCATTGCAACGTTCCGGCTCTGGGAAGGCCTCTTGAATCACGACAGACGGACTCGCAGACGGACTCGAACGCACATTGATCGAAGTCACGACCTTGATCCGCATGATATAGACCTTCCCGTCCCACTGTTGATAAACAACTCGTGTGAAGGTTCAGAGACGCGTCTCTAGAGACGTGAACTGCTTTTTGGTATAGACATTAGACTACGGCCTTGTCGCAACACGGCGATCCGGACACGTCGCTCTCGTCCAACGAGATGCGCTGCAGCGTCGCTTGCTGATCAGACTGAAACGAGCATCAATCGGGTATTTAACGATTGGATGCGGTGATGATTAGATTATAGATTTGTAGGCTGAACGACGTGCGAACAAATTGACTGGCCAGCCAGCAAGCAATTATCTTCAACGGATGAAACGCTGTTCCAGCAGCGAAGAAAGACAAGGTAAGAAAAACTGTGTTAAGAGAGCGCAGCAGAAAAGGAGACAACAAGAGGACGACAGGTATAAAAGCCTCGACCTGCAAAGGCAGGGGGCCAGACGTCGCTTTGCGAGGCAAAACTTGTCGCAGAAAATCATCTCTGTTTTCCATCATTTGTTACAGGAGGAGTTTAATACTACGGTACCTATGTCTGTGAGCTCGGAGTCAGCGAACAAGCCTGATACGCTGCTGTCATCCAATGCGCTTCTGCAAAAATCGGTTATAATTGTCTATTTCAGGATTAGGCGCAACCTGAAACGTCGCTTCGTAGCCAATCGCAACGTAAGGCTGATGAAGTCTTTTACTTGAAACGTGTCTGAAGCAGGGAGAGCGAGGTTCCTACTGTCGTACCTGTTCCAGTGCATTTTGAGGCAGACATAGCGAGGGTTTAGGCCCCTCTGATGCTTGGTCGAACGGCTCACCGGTGGTTGTTGGAGACGTTGCCACAATTCGTTCAATTCTACTCGGTAGGTAGACTCATCGCTCGAAATCGGAAGATCAAAGCCACCGGCCGTTACGCTGTTTAGCTCATGTGCTCTTCGAACCGCCGTGCGATTTCCAGGGTCTCCCCATCCATCATACTGCCCCCTAGAAATGTAACACTAAAGGGTAATACACCTTCTGCGTCAGGCTTGCCCTGGAGCTCCGACACAGGACAAGTACCAGCGGGAACAGCTACAGCACATAGATCAAGAACATTGCCGAAATGTGAGAACTCGCCTAGCACGCTGTTCGTTGCCATTGGATCCGCGAGTACTTCCTCGACAGTCCAGTGCGTTGGAGCTGTAGGGACCACAAGTACATCTATGCCAGACGCGTCGTAGGCGAAGGTTTTTTCAGCTTTCCGAGTGTAAAACGCTTTTGCTTGTAGGTCTCTGTAAGCTTGTATCGCAGTGCTTTTCCTCGTTATGACATTTTCCAAGATATCTCGGATAACAGGATGGAGGTGATCCCGATTCTTCTCAAGCCAATCGTCAGGCAGACTAGCCAAGCGTTCTGAGACAAAAGAGCCCTCATACAGGAGTTTACCCGCTTTCTCGAAAAAGCTCCAGTCTATTGGCCTCAAGATCCCACCCATAGCATGTAGACTCTGCACGCTTTCGTCGAACTTCCGACGGTAGGCTGGGTTGCAGATCGCTAGCGCTTCGAGCGGAGGAATGCCAAAAGTGAAGGTCTTTGCCTGGGGCCCAGTGGAATTAATGTGTCTTTGGATCGGGACGGTCACCTTTGCGTAGGGGTCCTCTTCATCATATTTCGCACACAGATCCCATACAGTGCGAGCATCCGAGACATTTCCAGCAATGATGGCAACGCAGTCTAGTGAGAGACATGCTGGCGTCACTCCTTGGGCTGAGATCAATCCTCTAGTGGGCTTATAGCCCACAACTCCATTGAACGCAGCAGGGATTCTCCCCGATCCAGCCGTATCCGTGCCAAGCGAGAATGTTACTAGGCCAGCGCCAACACTGACACAGCTCCCAGAGGACGAGCCTCCGGAAATGTAGTCGTGGTGGAGCATAGAGCGCGGGATTCCAAACGGAGACCGGCATCCAGTCAGGCCGGTCGCCAATTGATCAAGGTTGGTCTTGCCAATGAAGATCGCGCCTTGCTCTAACAGAAGGTCATATGCCAGAGCAGATTTCGATGGGACACGTGTCAATGGAGGACATGCGGTTGTAGTGGGGAGGCCAGCAATGTCGAAGCTATCTTTGACGCTAAAAGGCACACCAAAGAGTGGCGGAAGCCTTGAACGATCGGGCCAGTCGCTCAACAGCTTTCTTGCTCGCTCCAGCGCCGATGCCTCTGTCTCCAAATGAATCCAGACGGCAGGATCGACCTTTTTGTACCTTTGAACTCTGTCAAACACGATTTCGATTACAGTAACAGGCGACAGGCCTGTGCGGTACGCCTTTTGAAGGCTTGGGATACTCAGAACACCGTCAAAGTTTGCGGCAGTCTGGGCAGAAGTATTATCGCCAACGAATGCGAGCGACCGCGTGAACGACTCGAGAGTATCCAGTAGAGGCTGTAGAGATGCAACGAATCCGAAAAGGCCTTCGCTCCAATGTATCATGTCGAGTACAGAAAGTTTGAACTCATCTTTGTAGCCGGCAGTGGCATCCTCGACTCCACCTGTCCACAATGTCAGCTCTTGGGTATCTCAAGAAAGCGAAAATCTTGAGGAAGCAGTCAAGTTAAGAGCCCAACACCCCTACTACCCGCGAGGTTACATGTCGTCTAAGCCTCAGACCCTCAGAAGAATGGGCCGGAGACCGAAGTGTATTGTCGTACTGTAGAATGGCCAAGCCAATGAAGCACCGAAACGATGGCTCGCTATTCAGAGGGACTATCAACCCGTGTAATTTCCAAAGGTAAAAGCTTGAGATCCAATCGCCTGAAACCCAGGAAGCAACATCTTTCAATGTCAATGAGCGTTATCAAGCTTACAGCACTCGAATCCACGGTCATTGGCTTCACGAAATGTTGTATCAAAGCAACATTCCGTAGTCACACCACAAATGATGAGATGTGTGATGGCCTTTGCTTTCAATCTGTCCATCAACTTGGTATTGAAGAAGGCTCCTCTTCCTGGTTTGTCTACTACGACTTCTCCGGGAATATCGTGCAACTCATCGACAAAGTCGTGGCCGATTGCACCACGGACCAGCAGCCTTCCCATTTCTCCTTTGTCACCGATGACTTTTAGACCCTGTATTTTGTCTGGAAAACCCTTTTGTCTAATCAACTTGTTGGATGGACAGTCTGATAGGTCGGGCTTGTGGCCCTCTCGAGTATGGAAAATAGGTAGATTGGCTTGACGGAATTTGTCGAGAAGCTTCTTGGTTGGAGCAATTGAAGCTTGTACGGCTTGAAGAGAGCCAGCCTGTATTTCTCCGAAACCATTCGGGAGCAGGAAGTCTCGCTGCATGTCTATGATGAGCAATGCCGTCTGCGTCGGGGGGAATGCAAAAGGGTATGGCTTCGCGTCGACGGTGAGCATTGTGGACAAAGATTTGGTACAATCCATAGTACTGGAATGGCGTCAACGTATAGCGGGTCTATCTCGTGAAAGTTAGTAGAGGCAGTCACACGAGGGACAAAATGCAGATGGAGAGCTCAGTAATACATGTCTCGGATGGAACAGATCAGCCAGAGTCCACAAATTGCACGGCCGGTAGGAAAGCTCCGCCTACCACAACGACGTAACAGCAGCTCTGCAGTCTGTCAATGCCTGTCTGGATGCGGCGACCGCACGACGGGAGAAGGGGTTGAGGCAGTAGTCGGACGAAGATACTCTTGGTCTACGAGGCTAATCATAGGATTTACATGTCTCAGGGAACTCAAACCCATACTCAGGCACGCGAAAGGAAGCAATGCCTATTGTAGAACTATGGAGGCCTACCATACATATCCCGTTGGTGCCGTCTAAGCAACAAATCAATCTGCCAAAAACAGTCGCAAGACTGAGCTGGGTTCTTTCACAAGACCACTCTTCTTCAAAGGCTCAGACAAGCATGAGCACCATGATGAAAAGGAAGTTCGCATCAACCAGCGGCAGTGTAAGGCCAGTGACACAGTGCCAGGAAGCATGAGCAAGCCCAGAGACAACCCAACAATTGTAAAAATTGATTTAATCAATAAAAGGTCCGTAGACCAATTTCAGAGATTAAACTGAAAAGAACAGATACTACACTTGATCTAAGCCAAAAGGCAAAGAGAGCTAAGGAGAAAATTTGGGTCTGGGTTTCCAGGGAAATATATAGTCCCTCGCTTAGCTAGCGGGCCGCCAAGATTTCACCTGTGCTACCCGGATTGCAAATTTCCATGTACGGTAGTCAGTAGGTTTCTTCGCTGGATCTTGAATCGAAGTGTCACACAGTATGTCTTCCTTAACTAAGATACCACTGCAAATATCAGGCTACAACATACTTCCCCTGTCTCTCCCACCACTGCCCTCCTTCCCTGAAGCTGCAACCCATTACCTCTACCTGGTACCGCATCAGCCAAAGATCCCTACGCCTACTGCCTCGCGATCACTGTTCCTGGTCAATGTACCATTCGACTCGACTGAACTTCACATCAAGCTTTTATTCTCAACCCAGATAGGACTACCTGCCGGGAGGATCGAAGATGTACAATTCGAGGGCCAGAGGAGAAGAGGCAGCGGCACGGACCAAGCATCCAGTCCAAAGGCCTCTCAAAATAAGAAAAGCAAAAAGAGAAAACGTGGAAGTAGTGGAGGCATCATAGAAGACATGGAAGGCGCAGCACTGCCACCTGTGTGGGATCGCGACCTGCAAACCAACGGTCTCACAGCCGTCGTTTTATTCGTCGATCGAGCAAGTATGGACGCGGCCTTGAAAGCAGTCAAATCGATACGAAAAGAGCGCAAGGAACCTCTTTGGGGTGAAGGATTGGAAGGCAAAGTTCCAGCGTTGGGATCTGCGAGTCGGTCCCTTATCATCTACGATCTGCTAACGAACTCATGCTGATATAATCATAGGATATCTTAATCACCACAGCCTCACCTACCCCAACAAAGCCCAACTCCTCGAATCCGTCAACAATTACATGACACGTTTCGCCAGCAAAGAAGCCTCCCAAGCCCGATCCCTGGCTAGGCAAAGACAAGTGGCTGATGCCGATGGCTTCATTACTGTTACAAGAGGGGGGAGGACGAATCCCGCACGACAAGAAGTGGCTCAAGAGCAAGCTGAGAAGCAGAAGGAGAAACAAAAGGGATTGGATGATTTCTATAGGTTCCAGTCGAGGGAGAAGAGGAAGCAGAGGGCGGGCGAATTAGTGAGGAAGTTTGAGGAGGATAAGGAGAAGGTTAGGAAAATGAGAGAAAGAAGGGGAAGATTCAGGGTAGGTCCTTGTTATAGTTCATCCATTTCCCTGCTCGTATGCTGAAGATGGTGTACAGCCTGAATAAGCCACGTCCAGCACATCCCACTCCGAGTATCGAGAACCGCCGTCGTGTCAGTCTATGAGACCAGTGATCTAGCCCAGAAATAGAACACAGCCCACCAAACGAGTTGAGGATGTTGAAGATAATTCTGCCCTGGCACATTCCTACCTGGTGAGTCCTCTGACTACGAGCGGAACCGCAGCAGCTTCTTCACCGTTATCGTGCACACGACATGATGAGTCCCGCTGGGGCCATAGGAACGCCTTGCAATGCAAATGGCATTTGGCGCAATATGTCTACAAGACCAGCTTCACAAATCTTCTCAAACCTCTGAGACCTGTGCCTTCCAATGTTATTTCATTATTCTGCTGTTCCTCGATCAATCACTGAGAAGGAGGGATCGAGGCGAGATCTCGAGGTACTTGGCTAATCTCCGGGACCAGGACAAGTTTCAAATGGTTAGATGCTTGACGCAATCCGAATATGAGGAGGGGAAGGCATCGTCTTACGTGCAACCAATCGATTATTTAATCCGTGGTTGCGAAATCCCTACACTTTACAAAATTCCGCAGGCGTCAAGCAGTTTACAGCGTTAATAGCAAGCAGCGATCGCAAACGCGGTGATAATTCCGGCTGCGCACTTCGGAACGATTGGATGATAATAGATCGCAGGGTCGTTTTCAAGTGTGTGCTGGAGCGACTGAATTACCCGGTCAAACCGTCAAAGTGTCAAACCATATCTAGGCAGGGCAAAGCTATGTTCTCGGAACATTGTCAAAGTCAAGCAATTGTGAAGATTCCACCTCGTCTTTCTGACTTGAAACAGCTGTTGTCCGCCGAACAAGGTTACCACGCCGAAACTCGCTGCACTAGTGCCACCTGAATTGTGGCACATTCATGTTTGAGACGACAACGCCCCTTCCACCTCCAACAAAGGCCCAAGACTTACAGATCGTCGAGATGCGGCCAAGGATCGAAATACCATGCAGCAGTCCCTCAACTACCGGTGTGCCTTATCAGATTGGATGGATGTTAGGTAGCGTTCGCTCTCGAAATGCGAGACATTAGATTCGAACGATATTGGAGGGACGTCGTCCCAGATTCCAAACATTGCAATCTACTACACCGTTGCATGTGTGACAGTGGCCGCCTGGTAGGTGGTCACCGAAGGCGACTGACGGAAGGTGCGCCATTCGCTGTTGGTATGGGGTGGCTTCACCATATCTATAACCTCCCAGCGATCCTCCCGTTGTTCCTTCATCCTCTCCAACTTTCTTACTCAACCCACTGTCTCTTTCTGTTTGCATTTCTGCTGTACCTACTATCATTCCCTCCTTCAGCCCAGAGCATTGATCTCCTATTTCTGTGTCTTTCTTCAATTTTATTCCCTTCTTACAACGATCGTCCAGAATGTATTTGCAGTATATTGTGGCCGCTACGGCTACGGTGTTGATCACAGTTTCCTCGTGAGTACCAAGTTGTTTCTCACCCATGCTTGAACAATATGCCGACGTGGGGTGGCAGGTTTCCACATGACCAGGGCAAAAGGCAACTTGGCTATCAGGATCCCGTCGTGACCCCTACAGTCTCTTCATTCAAATTCTCCACCACGGCAATGACTGAATCGACCACGCCCAAGACGCACGCAACGAAATCCAAGCAGCCTAAGCCGACCCATACTCACAAAGCTTCGAAGCATGCATCCACCAAGACTGGAAGCTACACTCTTATAGGTTCCTTCGGCGAGGCTGGAACAAGCGTCCCGCCATTCTTGGGAACCAATCCGTAAGCAGATCAGTCCTTGTACATTGAAAACAAACCTGACAGTTTTTCCTAGATATGGCTCTTATCCTACTGGGTAATTTTCTCTTTTCCTGTTTAGAATCTGAAGTCTCATCTACAAAAATTTTGCATTTCTACCAAAGCGTCTCATCCATCCCACAACCCCTAAGCGCTCACTACTCGTCACCGGACTAACATTCTCCCAGCACAAATCCACTCGGCTCTTGCTACCTTGGAACAGCCTATGGCTGCACATCCGGCGGTACAGGCCGTCTCAGCCCGACCATCAAGTCGCCACCTCCTATCTATCCGAACACAACGTCAACCAGCATTTCTTCAGCGAATCTCAGAACGACAACTCAATCATCCCTCTCAACCCCCTCCAGCTCAACAGCATCGAGCCCGAAGACCGAGCTTCCACATGGGCCCCCACCTCACGGACCTCCCCCCCATGGACCACCTGGTGGACCACCAGCCTCTCCCGCTTCCTCTCTCAGCGCCCTCGAGGCTGGTGCCGTGGCGTCTCCCACTACATCCGGCGCTGGCATTGTCACCTACCAGAATCTCGTCGGTTACCCAATCGAATCTGGCGCAGTCCCTCCCTCCAGCACAGTATTCGCCGGCGGCCCTCCTCCAGGCCCTCCTCCAGGTCCTCCCGCCGGGCCTCCCTTTTGTCCACCACCCGTCACCATCACATCCACAAGTACGGCTACCGTGACAGTTACGGAACCAGCCCCCACGGCTCCCCTGACTACGCCGAGCACGATTCAACTGTCGACGGCGCCGTTCGGGCTGGGGAACGGCACCGCTTTCCACGGGCCCACGGGTGGAACGGGCACGGGGATGCACATGGTGACCATCCGCACAACCATCTCTGCCAAAAGTTCGGCCAAGAGCTCCGGCAACATCTCTTCTCAACCTTCGACGCTGACCTCCGCCACGACGTCCGGCATAGCTGCTGGCAAGGCTTCTGACAAGTCCTCGACCTCTGCCACAAGATCTGCCACAGCTGTTGCCCTCTCGGCATACACTTAGGAACGCGGACATTCTCAAGGTGCTATGGAATATTTAGTCGATGGGCGCTGTGGGGTACGAGAGCGCTGGGGGGATATACGCTTGGATTTTTGTCGCTAGGGAGAGCCGCGAGTGCTTTGGGCGGTCTGTCTAGTGCAGATTGCTGGGCTTGTGGGCAAGATTGGGCCGCCTCCCGTTGGGACCAGGCTTTCCAGGAGGTTGAGCGCTTACCTTCTTTCGGCAGTGGTATGGATGCAAGCTAGAATTGGTTTCTTCCGTGTTTCGTGTATGCACATTTATACCGTCGGGTACCACTGTGGCTCAATCAGAGCTCGTATCGTTGCCTCGCGTGAATGAGTAATATCTTACTTTACTTACATTCTGACAGGGCAATATTCTCACTGAATTTCCGTAGGGCCTCTTAGGGAATCGATACTTGCGCTGACTGGGCAACCAGAGGTGTTTAATTCGCAGAAGCTTTGATACATCGTGAGGATGTGGACTTGACGCATCAATACTGCTCTATCTACACCATATTTCTCCAACCGATGAACAAACGACTGGATCCGATCCATTGCTTTTCATCCGACGTGGATGTGACACCTACCTCAACAGCCAACCACACCTCTTCAATCATGGCACATCGTCGACAAGAGAATTGTCAGTTCAAGCTTACTCATCCTCCGAGGCAGCTCCAGTCATCATGGCAACACCCAAAATACCCAGTATCTTGGGTATACCGAACGAGCACACTCCAGTGCTCATCGTGGGCGGTTGAATGGTGGGCATGACCTTGAGCGCCTCGCTCGCAAACCATCGTGTATCAGGATGTGTGACGGTGGGAAAACATCATTCGACCGCCATACATCCACGGGCTGCTTTATTCCATCGTACGTTCCGGCACGAGTCCGATTTTGAGATATGGCCTGTCGGAACCAGCATGGTTTAGCACGTACTATGCCGATATACCGTGGAACCTGGCCTCTACGACGCCATGGGTCAAGAAGCTGCGAGACACTACGACGAACACGCTAACATGTCCGATGTGGAGTCGCTTGCTGGTCGCTTTTTGGGGTCCTTTATGAAGATTCTGAACGGGGTTCGTATTCACCGAAACTTCGTCATGCTCACTGCCCTCTACAGGCCATCGAGTCAATCTCACCCACGATACGTCTATTCGTTACGCAGCAGATGTTCGAGCCCATCCTCCGCCAAAAGGTCGCTGAAGAGGGCGGTGATCTTCGGTTTCCTTCCGGATTGATTGATTTTCAGCAAGACGCAGACGGTGTGACTGCCCTCGTGAGAAATACAGAGACCGGCCGAAAAACCATCATTAGATCAAGGTACAGATGGTGAGGGGGAAAACTTGGTATTGGCCTTGGAAGCCACGGCCTCCTTTCACATTCGATTACCATTTACTTCGATTTGGTCGTTGGTAAATATGTGAAAGGCAAGTATAACGGTGTGATCTATGTCAATAATGACACCGTGCGAGGTTTCTTTCGCATCGACAAGAGTGGACCGGAGGGCTTTCTCGTTATTAACACTGCGGGAGAGCGTGGCACCGAACGGAGTAGATATCCTGACGATGACCTCACCGACGAGGGTGCCCAAGAAATGCTCCGCGCTGCTGTTGGCAACGACAATGACTTCAAAATCACGCTCATCTCCCCATGGCGGGCTGTCTGTGATAACGCCGAAAGATACCCCCAAGGACGTTTTCTACTCGTTGGCGATGCGGCCGCAACCGTGACGCCAATGGCGGCGTTTCTGCAGACAGCCATAATCGAAGAGCCGGTGAGTGCCAATTCATCCCCTGGCTCTATTGCACGCCACATCATAGTCAATGTCCCAGGCCATGCGAACAACATTCCCATTGCAGATCTTTTCGGTCATGCGTTTGTTCTCCTCACGGGTTCCGAGGGTCAAGAGTGGGCCTCGGCTGCTACTCGCCTCAGATCGGAGACTACGTTGCCCGAAATTCGAGTGTACAGCGTTTCCAGTGATCTCTTTTGCACGAAGTACTGCATAACTGCATCTGGAGCTGTCCTCATACGCCCCGACGGCCTCGTAGCCTGGCGAGAGCGTCATGCCGCCATGCAATGGTCGTACCTGACCCGAGCACCACGCTTCGGGCGGTAATACGAAGAATCTTGTACTTCGAGCCTGTCGCGGCAACGCAGAAGAATACTCCAAAGGCCAAGGTGGAGGCATTTTTGTGGACCAGCGCATTACACGTCAGAGAAAAAGCTGTCAAAGCAGAAATAGGTGAGCTAAGGGGGAGGTTGGAGCAGCTGGACGAGCATCTAAAGGATTTGAGGTGCTTGGAAGAGCTGCAGAATGAGATGGCCCTGCTGGCCATGAAGACGGTGTTGTGGGCAGAGAAGCCTCCAGAGTATCCTACGTCCGACTGCCAAGGCGCAAGCAAGAACTGAAGAGCCAAGTGTCAATGATATCCTGACTCAGCCCACGCATTAATGCTTGACGAGCCAAAAGATGAAGTCTTGCAGCTGAGCAAATCAGCACGAACATCCTCTTAATCCTTATCCCTCATCGATTCTTGTCGCCTAGGATTTGTGCGCCGCGGGTCTTGCAGTCGGAGATGCATTTCGGACCGTGCCACTGAGTGCAGACTTTGATACCACGAAGGCGCCAGCGGATACCTATTCCTGGAGAGAAATATCCTCACCTACCGTTTGCGCGTGTCCAACATTGTGGTCCCAATCCAAGCCAGGCTCATACAAAAGTGCGTGTGAGCAGGGCATGCTTAATGCTATTATTCGCAAACGGTTTGTAACTTACCAGTGTTAGCATGTCCGCCAGTTCCGGTATCTCCGTATCCAGTGCACCTTCTTTCTACGTTGTCAGCATCCATAGCCGCCCATCGATACCACCCTCTGTCACTCAAGAAGACGGCATCTGGGCGCTTGATGGGGAAGATGCCGACGGTACACTGTTGTTGATACACTAGTAGCAGTAATGAGTGATCAAAAACAATTGATTGAGGGACTCCACCTGGGAATCAATTAGTTAATTGCTTTTCGGTGGGGCGGATACACGTTCTAATTCCGCGGAAAATCTATAGTCTCTCCACGTTCCAACCATGATGTCTGCCGGCCATCTGGTAATACTAGAAAGACTTGAAAAAATGGATTCGATCATCTCGGCGACGAAAGGTATATGAGGCCTCGCTGCAAGCTATCGCGGTTACTTTCCCGTATACACCACCGCAGACGGGAATGTTTGAGCTCCTGGCCATGACTAGATGGAGATTGATGATCTGAAGGAGAGACACGAGGACCGCGGAAAGAGGTTTCAGGACGAATGAAAAAGTGTAGAAAAGAAAGGGTAATCAGAGGAGAGCCCCGAGCAACGCGTTTTGAAGAAATTAGGATCAATCCTCGCTCTGGATGGAATTTTGGCGCTGCTGCTCTTTGAGACGACAAGGGATCAGTTCTTGCGGTTGAGCACGCAGTGAGATTCATATCCTGTTTGTTGTTGGCGACGGTGTCTCACAAAGTCCTGATCAAGCTGATGCACTCCGGTGCTCGATGACCAAACCACCGAGAGATCGTTCGGCCTTTCCACCAATGGCTTGCACAAACAAAGATGTCCAACACCAAGACCTTCGACCTTGGGCAACTCAAAACAAACTTGGGAATCAGCATTGGCGGCAGAAGGGTGACTCAGGCCTCGGATGTATTTCACGATTCTAGTATCGAACGTTGTCTGCGCTCAACTGCGACATTCTCATGACAATTGGTCCGACTCATCAACCCTTCTCGTGGTTTCCAGCCGGCTCATCAGTCAAGATTGACTCGAATGACATATTCCGCAATCTAGGATTCATCATGTTCCAAGCTTGATTGCGGTACCTATATCGAGTATCCTCTTTGCGTATGTAGTCCCCAACATCTGAAATGGGAACGCAGCGATGAACGTGCCACGCATTGGTATTTTGGGTCATTGGTATATCTTTGTACAGGTAACCAGCGCTATAGATTAGTACGGTCGGTAGGGGAGTGTAAACAAACTTCATGGGCCATGCTGTCAGGTCGCTAGCGTAGACCTAACGACAGGGATCAGAGATTCGCGTCGTTGCGACTCGCGACGTCCATCTCACCGTACTGCACTCTGGATCACCCTCATCCTCGACCATGAGTGACACGCACATCGATGACCGAAGCGATGCCCGATTGAGGGAAGCCATCGAAAGATTGCCCGATAAAGAGCGGGCTAAAGGTATCAGCTTATTCGAGCAACATAAAAACGCTCAGGCAGTCTACGATGCCCTTGACAGCTCAGTCTCCTCTTCTTCATCAGAGAATATTACGGATACGTTGTTACGGATGATGCGGTTACGGGAGAAGGCCATTGAGGTGGAGCAAAATCCTACACCAAGCTTCAAGGGTGCTCTCGACCAATACACCTTCGCACAGACCCTATCGCCAAACAGACGCGTCACAAGATGGTTGAGTTCGACTCAGACATCTCCTACACCTGCGGTTACGTCAACCTGCAAAGTCCCTACCCCAGCTATGTCTTCGCCTACCCGGAAAGCATCATCTCGAGCAACCTCACTGAAACGCAAAGCTACCGAGCCTGCCTCTGCTTCGCCCTCTCCCTCGAAAAAGAAGAAGCGCCCGTCCTCATCCTACGCCCCGCCGTCAAAATACGCCTATCTAACCAACCACCTCACCGACTCCCTTGCCCCAAACTTGATCTGCATATTCATCGGCGTCAATCCGGGCATACGCACTGCAACCACCGGCCACGCATACTCCCATCCATCCAATCTCTTTTGGAAACTCGCTTATAGCTCAGGCTGTACGCCGCGCCTTTGCAGGCCGGAAGAGGATCAAGATCTACCGCGATTGTACGCGTTGGGACATACGAATATCGTGAGCAGACCTACGAAGGATGCGGGGGAACTGAGTAAGAGCGAGATGGACGAAGGCGTGGCAATTTTGGAGGAGAAGATTAGGAAATGGAGGCCGGAGAGTGTGGCAATTGTAGGGAAGAGTATTTGGGAGAGTGTTTGGAGAGTTAGGCACAAAAAGAAGTGTGGAAAGGATGATTTTAGGTATGGGTGGCAGGATGATTCAGAGAGGATGGGTATTGTGGGGGTTGAGGGTGAAGAGGGATGGCCTGGGGCGAGGGTTTTTGTGACGACTACTACTAGTGGGTTGGCTGCTGGGATGAGGCCGCATGAGAAGGAAGAGGTATGGAGAGGATTGGGAGAGTGGGTGAAGAGGAGGAGGATAGAGAAGGGGATACCTGATGAGGGAGGCTTGAAGCTCGAAGTGGTCGGGGATGGTGAAGGTATGGAGGCTGTGAAGGAAGAGGTGGAGGAAGCTATGGAGACATGAAGTAACACTAAGAAGCCTGGTGTCAGGATGCACTCGAAAGTTCATTGGCTGCAAGCTAGGTCTTCTCGTATCGTGAGCTCGGTGCTTGTGAGTGACGGGTGCATGCTGCCAATACCGGTGTCACTGTCGTGTCTCCCTTAAGCCTGCTGAAAGTCTCCTAGCTAGTCATCCTCAGCTAAAATTACATCTATGTGATAAAATCCCCCTATTGTATTTCAATCCTTTATCTGTGGAGCAAATCCAATACTTCTCCGCCTTCATGAAGGAACACTTCTCTCCATGTGTGCCTACTCATCGGTACACTTCACCCGGAAACCCCAGAACTCATCGCTCCCCGCATATCTAGGCGATATCGTATTAATCTGATATATTATTGAGTTAACGATATAAGAGAAGAATCTACTACGACGGTTATAACTAAATTACTATAGTTAACTATTGATGGAAGATCGGACGATATATATTTAGACGAATTGAAATCGTTCGATTATCTTACTCTGACAGCTATTTCATTATTCGAAAGATTTCACTGCGATAGAAGATATTGTAGGATTCACACCACTAATTAGCACGATGTCTTCATTTTTTGCCGGCATTCAAAAAATCATGCATACATACTTCTTGCCATGAGGACATAGCCTTTCTCTATTTTTTTGTAGATATTTATTACGGAGAATCCTCCATATAGGCCCACTGGTACCAATTAGGCCTTAGCGCGCCTCCCTACTGCCTTGCAGGCACATAAAACAACATTAAGAACTATTCCTTACCACTACTCAGCCCTATCGCTTGTATATAGTCAGATTTTTCAGTACCTTAGCCATAAACTATCCGTCGCAAATATTTTGATTCTTCAATGAGCTTCGACGACTACACTCTCTCACGGTGACTCTCTGACATCAATCTCAAAAGACAAAGGACAGTTATGGGCTCTGTACTTAGCTGCTTAGAAGCCGACAAGAGGAGGAAAGAGAAAAAAATGGCACAATTCGCGCAGACGAAACGTGGACAGCGCGTGATGAACTCAAATCGGATGGTGCGGTACAGAGAGAAGCGGTTGAAAGCCATGCAACCAGATGTCGAACTCCGCCTTAGGGAGGAAGAAGATCACACAAAGGGTCAACAGGTTTGGTTCTCTCGGTATATATACAACGGGCGGTTGAGACACTGGGTCCTTATGACGCACGGCAACAAGTATGAGCTGCGCCTCGGTGAGAATGTTGGCAAAGCGAATGGGGAAGAACCCCCAGGAGAATCAAAGTTCACCTACCACATGACGCCTTTCACGATCGAAGAAGAGAAAAGAAAAGCAGCACTGGCTGAGAGCAGCTTGCCTGATGTAGACGGCTTCTATGTCTGCTTGATCGGCTGGACTACCAAGACCAAGGACGAAGTCGACCTTGCATGCAGGTCCGTATCTCAAAGTTTCGGAGAGTATCACCTCTTGTGGAAGAACTGTCAACACTTCCTTCGCATACTAGCGGATCAAATCTTAGCCACCAAAGCAGCCGACTACCCCTGGTTCAAATCCAACACGAAAACCAGGTACCAGAAGACGCAGTCCTTGATGCCCCCGCCCCTGGAGTTCTTGTTGAAAATGCAGCTCCAGATGACGGCCCAGATGCAGGCGCAGGTCCAGAACCAGATCCAACTCCAGACTCAAAATCAGACTCAAAATCAGATTCAGAACCAGATTCAGATGCAGATTCAGAACCAGATTCAGATCCAAATTCAGAACCAAATTCAGAACCAGATTCAAATGCAAGTCCAGAACCAGATTACAATGCAAAACGTTGGGTCATAAGTGCGCAAAGAGACAGATTGGGTTTGGAAAGACAGTTGAGCAAACGGTCTATTTTACTTTCAGCGCCCGAACTATACTTGAGAATTCGACTTAGTGCTTGCCGCCTTAACTACTCGGTGCAACGACTTGCGTGTTAATCTCAGCTCCTTTATCAAGCAGCATCTGCACCACTTCATCATCACCTCTATATGACGCCGCCTACAAAGAAAAGTAATCCGGAACAAGAAGAAAATCCATCATCCAGTCATTGTTGGGGAAACCGACCGGAAAACCTTCAGGAAGAGGAGCCTCATTTGCATCCTGCAGCGTTGGAATGGTGGAGACCATGTAGCTGTCCGGCCCGAGCTTTTCCTCCTGATCATGTCGGATAGATCGAAACTTCTTGGCGGTTGGGGAGAATATGTCTCCTTCGGTGCTGCCATCATTGTCTAACCTAGGAAAGGTTGCCACTTGATCCATGTTGTTGATTACCTGACCCAAGATGAGGAGCAGATCTGCAGTCTCTTGGGCACCCTTCTTGTCCCAAGCAGGATCGTTAAGAGTCGAGAGCCTGTGCAGGGTGACTAGAGAATGTACGAGTTGTGAGAATATGGAAAAGGGAAATCCAATGTAGTCGATGGGTAGGATTGTGAAGAAGACCTCAAACCAGGACTTTGTTGACTCAACGCATGCGTAAAGACATCTCCCTTACTTGAAGTTTGACTGGTTGGAAATAATCGGCGCTTGGGAGAGTGCAATTTCATTGACCGTCAGCTCTGTTGCTGTAGAGGTGTGCAAGCACAACCTCTGCCAAATCGTCAGAGAGGACAACAGAGTACTTGGTGAATCATAGCTTACCATTGCGCTGTAGCTGAGGCGAAAGTTTGCTCTCTCTCCACTGCAACTGCGAGTGGAGGGCTTGTAGACAAGAAGATAGTGACGCCTTATAGTGCTAATCGGTTTCCATTGCTCCATCATTCCAAGTGCCCAGTGTCACTTTTTCAACAATCACCTGCAATCGTACTTGCTGCACCAATATCTCATCAGTGAGACACTCTCGCCTTTCATCCACCTCTTGAAGGCACTCATTCATGTGTGGTGTCCAGCGTAGCGCATCAACTTTGTGCAAGAGCGATGAGACACAGAAAAGACGATGAGCCCACGCTTCAGGAAAGGTATGGAACAACAGACTGACATTGACGTAATCAGAAAGCAACCAAGCACAGCTCTCCGTTCCTCCATGGTCCGAACTGTGGGTGATTTCGGATGATTTTGAGAATTTATACAACGCGACGCCTGCGGGTCTTTGGGCAGGGGCTTATTAAGACCAAGATCAAATACTAATGATGTGGCAAGCTGTGTAAAGACGGATAGGGAGGGTCTGCTTTGCACCTGGTAATTGATCCTGAGAGAAAGTAGTCAGTATCTGACAACTCAAGTTTGTGAGGCAGAAAACCCGTGATAATGTAATTTTGTGGGGCAGAAACCCCATACCAACCAACATATGCCAGAAGTCTTATGAGGAGATCAATACTCTGATCAGACCCAAGCAGCATTTCCTGCGCCAGTGTATCTCGCATTTTGCTGCCAAGTACTTGTTGCTGTGACGTTGATCCCGAAGCCATCGTCATTATGCAAAGCCATGAAAAGGGTTGTTCTTGACGGAGTTGCTGCGCAGTGGTAGTAGATGGAACATAAACGAATGGAAAGTACTTTGATTTGTGGGTGTGAAAGATTGTAAGATGTTCCTCTGCTTCGACTGGAGAAGGTTCGACCGCATCGTAAAGAAAGGATGCCGAGGAGTCACTCAAAGTGCCCTCGAATTGGGTTTCCCTGGCGGCAAGACTGGTAGATTCGGGACATAGTCACCCAAGACGCTCGTCACTGATCCTCCTTTGTGTGACTTTTGGAAGAAGTCTTACCATTTGTTCGGACATTGCTGTGATGCGCAGAATCGGACAACGCAGCTATCTTCTGAGTATGATGGCATCAGGTTGTGCCCCTGCCTTGAGCAGCGACACTAGACCATCACGTTCCTGCTGGAGCCGTGCTGATTTGGAGATGACTGGTTTTTTTATGGAATATGGCGTCGAACTGTCACTGACGGCCGGCATTCCAATCAAGCAATGGCATCTGACAACATCAATTCATGTGTAGCACAGAGCTTTGGGTTCGTGATGATGACCTCTCACAACGACCGTCAATCCTACGAATTATACATTTGCACTTGGACTGAGAACAGTCCACGCATGCTCGACCATATGGTGCTGGGATGGCATCATTCATTCTTTCCAGGAAGATTGTTCGAATCGACTATGAAACCAGGATTGTATTTTGAAGAGATTCGACCGTCCCAACGTCACGGATGTCGGCACTGAAAGTCCTGCACATGGTCTGAAGGGTTGTCTGGACAATGCGCTCACATCTGCTTCGGACTTATGCTTGACCTGAGCCCGAGTTATATGGCTTATCGCCCCTATCAGGCCCAATAGATGTCCTCAAAAGCTCAATTCATGCGCCCATAGGAAAGAGCTCGTTGGAGGGCCGCCTTCCGAAAGTAGGGTTAGGGCTACTACTAGCGGTATACTCGTATTTGACCGCCTGTAGAAAATTCCTTGAAACTCTCTTTGCGGCGAGAATCGAGCTTTCATGATCTCAGCGGAGAGGAAAACATTTTTGCCTGATAACATCGCCGTGTTTCGATCATTGCCATTGTAGCAGCTTTTTTTTTCTCTTTTTTCTTGAACAACCACGCGGTTTCCCCCTCATGGCCTCAGCAATGGCCCAAGTAAGGAATTGCGCGTGGGGTTTTAACCTTCACTGATTGGCCATGAGCTCTCCGCCTTCTCCGTCATGTCTTTAAGTGTTGTACGATTCAACCAAGTTCTTTCAAGGCCGTTGACCATTGAGGAAGGTGTTAAATTCGAGGTGGTGGGGCGTCGCACGAGGTGCATAAGGTACGAGTCCTCGCTGTTCGGGCAGTACCTGCATTTTCAATCTGCATCTACTCTACAGAGAACTTCCTAAAGCACCATGCATTACCCCATCATCTACATGGCCGCCCTCGCGGTACCGCTGTTGCTACCAGTACTAACGGCAACCCAGCACACCAGCGCTACAATCCCTGGAATCTCAGCATACACCGTCACTGCTGGTTTTCCAACCTCTGCCTTCCCCACCTATTGGGAAGCGCCTGTCGAGACTCAAGAGCCTCAGCCAGCCCTCTACGACCCTGTCCTCAATATCACGTTTCCCTTGAATCTCACGAATCCAGAGACGATCCCAACGACCGACAATGACCCAATCTACTATCCTCAGCCGTTGGCCAACATCTCCAACTCGTCCACTGCGGCCTTGTTGCAAGCAGCGTACACAAATATTACAGGTATAATTGAGAGTAACACCACGGCCAGCAATTGTACAAAATGTATGGCGGCATTGAATGTTGGGAAAACGGTCGCTCAGTATGCGCCTGAGAGCGTCCCAGATCTTTTGGTTAAGCTCTGCGAGGCTTTCCAGTTCAGCTCGAATGCAACTTGCGTTGACAACTATGCCGCAGGCAGCTTCGGGGCCATTTGGACTCAGGTGTTGGCACTTGCGGACGTGACTGGCCTGGATGGGCGATATATCTGCAACGACCTTAGTAGTACTTTCTGCCCAGCGCCAGCGACTTCGCCTCTCAACGTGACGGGCTTGTTCCCCAAGCCCAAACCCAAGAATGCGTGCGCACCCAAAGCTTCTGGAAAACGAGTCAAGGTTCTACATTTGTCGGACTTTCATCTTGATCCAAGATACTCCGCTGCATCAGAAGCAAATTGCTCAGCAGGCTTGTGCTGCAGGACGAATGTTCATGCTACTGGAGATGCTGTTGGGCAGGTGACTGTACCCGCGCCGCTCTACGGTTCATTCAAGTGTGACACGCCTTACTACCTTGGTCTGGCTGCTCTTCAAGCGATCGCGCCTTTGACTGGAACACATGGCAATTCTTCTGTTGCATGGACTGTCTACACGGGAGACCTTGTCTCACACGACAGCCAGAACCAGCTCTCTCGTGCTTATACTGAGTATGCTGAGGTCAGCGTGTATGATCTTTTCAAGGAGTATATTGGGAGCCCGGTCTTTCCTGTGCTTGGCAATCACGATTCCAATCCGGAGGCTATCGACGCACCGCATAGTCTTCCAGGGCCGCTTGGACAACAATTCAGCTGGAACTACAACCACGTGGCCTCGCTGTGGCAGCAAAATGGCTGGATCAACTCGACTACAGCGAATGAAGCAAGGCTGCACTACGGTGCCTACTCTGTGCTAAATCAATACGGCCTGCGTATTATCACCTTAAACACTGACTTTTGGTATCGAAGTAATTTTCTGTGAGTCATTGTGGCAAATTTCTTCTTTTCTTTTCATAGCTGACATTTGCAAAGCAACTATATCAACACTTCCAACCCAGACGTCTCTGGCATGCTAAACTTCCTGATCCAGGAACTGCAAGCCGCAGAAGATGCCAAGGAGAGAGTTTGGATCCTAGGCCACGTCTTGGCCGGGTGGGACGGTAGCAATCCTCTACCCAACCCAACTAATCTATTCTATCAGATCGTCGACCGATACTCGCCTCACGTCATCGCCAATATCTTCTTTGGCCATACGCATGAGGACCAAGTCATGATCTATTACGCAAACAACGGCACTGTCCAGACATCTGAGAACGCCTTGACATCAGGCTGGATTGGTCCTTCCGTCACTCCCTTGACAAATCTCAACAGTGGCTTCCGCATGTACGAGGTCGATACTGGCTCATTCGAGATCTACGAGGCCTATACTTGGTTCTCCAATGTGTCAAGCTTCCCTCACCTCAACGTGTCTAAGACTGGTCCAACCTACCAATTTGAGTACTCAACTCGTGAGGCTTACAACATCAGCTGGCCAGAGGCGTCGCCGCTGGATGCGAAGTATTGGCAAGCAGTGACAGAAGCTATGGAGACCGACTTCAGTCTCGTGGAAAAGTTCAATACTTTTCAAGGAAAAAGCAGTGTTCTGACTCCCAATTGTACCAGTGCAGCTTGTGCTAAAGCCAAGATTTGTTACATTAGAAGTGGTTCCGCGGTCTTGGGCAGGCAGTGTCCGCAAGGATATGGATCAGTGCAGTCGGCCTTTGACCCGCCAAGCACTTAGATGCGCTGGCCATCATTGGCGCTGACGGCGGAATTATTGACGAAAAGAAGTCATAGCAGATACATCAGTGCACCCTTATTACGATCGCTGTGCTCATTCTTCAGGGTGCCTCCACAATGGCGTGAATTCAGAAGTATCTCTACCTATGCTCACCCCACTGGTGCCACCACCTCTTGATGTCTTGGCAGGTAGGGCTGATAATGAACGCTAGCCAGATCTGTTCGAATTATCCCTGCATATTCAACCCAGCGACTTTAGACATACCCTCGTACATTATTAAATGCTGGCTGACTGTCTACCAACGGTAGCAAAGGTAGGAGCAAGTGACCTTTGGCTTGCTTACAGTGGTGTTCAGAAGAGCGGTCACGATTTTATCACTGAATGAGTGGGTTTGCCTGTATGACAGACTCCCCGTAATTCAGAAGATAAGAAACACCGCAACACCATTGTACCAGCGCCAATAGGAATTGAACCTATTACGAATTAGATACCTCTAACCTCAACCGCAACCACAGGTGCGTGCCTCCGCACCACAAGGACAACCACTCCTGCTGCTGCACTCAAGCCAGACCAGGTACAACCTGCAGTATTGGCGCTGCCAGAAAATAAGAAACACCGCAACACCATTGTACCAGCGCCAATAGGAATCGAACCTATTACGAATTAGATACCTCTAACCTAATTCTGCATGTGCATGGTATTCATCGCCTCCTTGATCTAGCCTTAAATGGACTGTTTCAAATACGACTGCCTCGGCGTCATCTATGCCTAGAGGCTGAGTGCGGGCGAGCCTGGGTAAGAAGCGGGGTAGAGGATGCGGTCGTGAATAAGACCAATGCCCTGGGTCGCCGCCGACTGTGGCATGAATGTCAGGCTCCAATGAAAACGCTCGGAGATGAGCCTCTTCATCTCCTGCCTCCCCACCGGACTTCACTTCCTTCATACTTCGGCTGTAAGTACTTACATACAGTACAAAAGCACCACCGTCTTGAACACCCGTCAAAACTTTCTGCTCGGATCACTATGTCGGACATTCAGCACAGTCACACACCAGAAGAGCTCCGAGAATCGGAGTTGTCCGCGCCAGAACTCATATCAGACAGCACGTCTGTAACGGAGACCTTGGTTCCTGCGGATGCTACTCCGGCAGAAGCATCGTAAGCAGGGTCTTCTGAAAAGGACTCGACAAACTCGCCGACACCAGGCTCATCTACATCTTCGCATGGAAATGAAGCAGCTCAAGGTGGGTCGTACTCTTTCCCCATATGAATAATAATCATCACTAATATCTATGGCTGTTCAGCTCATCTACAGTCGCATCGGGACACTTCTAGATACGCCGCACCTGGGGTCATTCGATCATGTAAGTTGTCACCCCAGAGGCACAACTCCTGTTGATTCGTCTGCAGTGGACTCATATCCCTGAGGCTACCCTCGCATGGCCGCAACCTGTGATTGCGACGCGAAGTTCAGCATCTGCCGTAAATTTGGTTGGCTGCACAATCGCGTGCTACTCCATCTGCAGGCGGAGCTGGCAAGGCTGGAGTATGACCTTGAATGGATAGATGCTGCGCAAGCCGAAAGACAGGAGTTCAAAGCGACGCATGCGACAAGTCCAACAGAAAAGAAATGCTTACAGAAATCAGGACGAAGCTCGCAGGATACGACGACCTTGTCTTCCGGCTTCGAAAGAAAAACGCAATGAAGAGGCCAACAAGGGCGAACGAGGACAAAGTGTTTACTCGTGCTTGCAAAAGCGTTACATTTACGGAGGCCCAATGGACTTTTCGAAGGGACGACCTCGTTGCTCTTGCAGACGATGCTGCTGAACAGAGCTGGTTCAATTTCATGATGGCCTATCCAAAGGATTTCGCCCCACGACTGTTCAATGTAAGATTCATTGGCTTTCCGCGAAATGCTCCTACGTGACACTCGTGGATCAATACCCTCTGATACTTCCCAGGGCATCTTCCAATCTCGCGAGCGGCGCATCAAGACCGGCCCTAATCCCGACATCTTCATCTACTCACCAGTTCGAATGGACGCCTTCTATCGCGCAACTCTCACGGTGATTGGCACCGGCATCGTCCTTGGGCCCATTTCCGTTCCGAAGTTGCTCAGTCGGAACCCTATGCTAACAATCTATGCGTCTACACAGGGTTTCTCAATGTTCTGTGCGGTCTTCACTAAGACTAAGAGAGACCAGGTGTTTGCAGCAACGGGTGGGTACTGTGCCCTACAAGTGATGGCTATGTTGCTTGGTCCCCTCATGAAATGGATCTGAGACGTGGCTTAAGGCCGTGATTTCAAAAAAAAAAAAGGCTTAAAGAATATGCAATCTGGCAGATGCTTTGGATTTGAAGCCGTGGTGTTCTGTATTTCGAAACAGACGGGCTTTTGAACTAGTCGACGGGGCAAATATTTCGGGTTTGAAAGCAGGAGGATCTGTTGTTCTCAAGCTCTTCGAAGCATGCAGGTGGCCACACTCGTTAGGTACATGAGTTATGACTCAATATTTGGAGGATTCGAACTGGGAGATACCATGCACTAGATTCCAGTGAGAGAAGTATCCATGACAGCAAATGTTATCCCCGTCCACCCTCCGGTCCAAGCATCAAAGTTTTAAGCGTACCCTCGTTGATGAGATGCTTAATATCCAGATCTTGGCATGTGAGATATGAATGATGGAGTGCTCCTGCTGATCGCGGTGCTCCAGGGCCGCGCTTTCTCTTTCTGATTGAGACTACTCTTGCTTGCGCCCCTCTTAGTCGAAGATTGTACCTGAACCATCCATACAATCTTGACAGCAACAAAGTTTAAGTATTATTCTACATCAGCTTCGCGACATCACTACTCTCATAATCAAGACCGTTTTCCAATCAGCGGTAAATGGCATCTGATATTATCAGGACTCGCAGTACCGAAACACCAAGCCTCACAATCACTCATCGCCGTGAGCATGCAAACACCCCTCAATACTCTTTCCATCAAGCTGACGTCTCTTCCAGTCCAAACGACAATGTCATACCCAGATCCAATGCAACATGGCCAGTCCACAACACCATACCCACCTCCAATGCAATTGGCTCAGGGACCGTTGCCATACCCACTTTCAATGCTACCAGGCCAATCAACTACGTCGTGCTCACCTCCTATGCAACCTGGTCAATCAACAACTTCATACCCACATCCGATGCCACCGGCCCAGGAGACAGTTGCATACCCACCTCCAATGCCACCGGATCAGGGACCGATGTCATACCCACCTCCAATGCTAACTGGCCAACCAGGCCAAATGACACCGTTCCAGCTACCCCAAGCACCAGCTCAAGCAACAATGTCATCCACACCTCAAATGCAGCCAGACGGAGGGGCAATGTCACAGGTACCTCAAATGCTACCGACGCCCTTCACCACCCCATCGGCTTATGATCAGACTGCTCCCCAGTCCAATGATAGGCCTATAGTCGAGCCTCTAGTCGTGTGGTGCGTCTGCATCCCTGGTGACGGCTCCCCTATCCACAGAAAGATGATCGAGATCGTCACTGGAGAAAACGACCCGACTTATTACATGCCCGCACTACAGAATTGGTGGCCGAAAGGGGATCCGACTGCGAAGGCTGTGGTACGTGTTCAGGGAATCCAACACTGTTCTACCACGTGCTGGATCTTGAAATACGTCTTGGGAGTGTCTGCTCAAAAAACATATTTCGCGATTGAAAGTCCAACTTCGAGAAAGCAAAGCTAACCCTAAAGTGTCACTTAGTACCCAACCCTACATGCACCATTCGATCCTGCACCCCTGGGCGGCTACTACTTCCTCTTTACCATCGTCGATGCCGTTACCATCCCTTGCAATGCCTGGCTTGGGCACCGTACCTGCGGCGACGCATTCCTTCTGAAAATCAACGAGTTCCTATGCAAGCCTAGGTCTGGACATACGGCACTTCGGTACGCGATCTATCAAAGTGTGCCGGAAGACATGATTGTGAGCCCGTTGTTAGCGGAAATAATGCGGCCAATAGAGTGGATGATTTTGCCACCGCATGACCGTATAGTGAGGTTGGGATTTGCCAGGGCCATGAGAGAGAGGGAGGAAACGCAGCCAAGGGAGAACGAAGAGAATGACAAGGAGAACGGAGAGACTAACAGGGAGAACGAAGAGAGGAACAGGGAGAACGGAGAGACTGACAGGGAGAACGAAGAGAGGAACAAGGAGAACGGAGAGACTAACAGGGAGAACGAAGAGAGAAACCAGGTGAGGGGACAAAAGAGACAGGGAACTTTCAAGAAGAGAAAAAGGATTACCAAGCTGGAACAGAGGAGGAGGGATCACGAGGAGAGGAAGAGGTATAGGGAACAGATGAGGAGGGAATTGGAGGAGAAGCAGAGGGACTGGGATATGATGACGAGCGAACAAAGAGAGCTGATAGAGTCGAAGAAAGATCAGTTGGAGAAAGAATTGAGGGAGAGGGAACGGGAGGAGATCAGGAGGGAGACAGCTCAGAGGCAGATTGAGAGGGATCAGAGGAAGTGGGAGAGGCTGGAAAGGCAGGACAAGGAACAGAAAGGGATGGTACAGAGGGAGAGGGAGAGAGAGAGGGAGAGAGAGAGGAAAGAGAGGGAGGAGAGCGACGAGAGGGTGCAGCACGAGAGGATAGAGTATGAACGGGCATTTGCGGCGGAAGTTATGCGTAAATATGTTTATGGGTGAGTGCTTCCTGCTTGGACTCTGAGATCGTGCTTTGTGTTCTCTTGGAGATAGACATGCGTCTCTACAACAAGACTCTACGCTCTGAGTTGTCGACAAGTCGCTAACATCTACGAGGGAATCGGAACAGATGGATCAGAGCGAGAGGCAGGAGAGCGAGAGGGGGAGAGAGGAGAGAGTGGCGTATGAGCGAGCATCCGCGGCGGAGGTTTTGATTGGGCTGCCCTATCAGTGAGTGCTTCCTAACTAGGACTCTGCGATCGTGCTTTGGGTTCTTTTGGAGATCTGCATGTGCCCCCCTTGCAATGAAACTCTGCGCCTCGAGTTGTTGACGAGTAGCTAATGTCTGAGAACAGGCTTCGACCAGGGATGGCCACAACGCCGGACCCATCATCTGAAGCGAGACATGCTCTTACACCTTCTGAAGCGGCTCATCATCCACCAAGGCTGCCTTTAGTGAATCAGCCAACTGCGAATGAGCGTCCTCAAATGCCTATCTCTGATGCTGGCCGCGATGAGCGTCGAGAGGCATACGAAGCACCAGCGAGGGAAGTGGAGGTTCATGAAGATTACGACGTCATTGAGGGAGGCTGGCGACATGCTTCTTCAGCGTATGATCCACTCATCATCACCGGATCCGCCCCTTACGATAATCCCCTGCCCTTAATTGAAGAGCAGGATGCGTCTACGGGTATTAACCAACCCGGACATCTTGATCCCCCAGAGCCACCATTTGAAGAACGCTATGGGTTCGCACCTTTCGACAGTTTCGCTCCTTACGATAATTTCTTGCCCTCAATTGAAGAGCAGGATGCGTCTACAAGTATCAACCAACCCGGACTTCTCGATCCCCCAGAGCCACCATTTGAAGAACGCTATGGGTTTGCACCTTTCGACAGTTTCGCCCCTTACGATAATCTCTTGCCCTTGATTGAAGAGCAGGATGCCTCTCCGAGTGTCAATCAACCCGCGCCTCACGAGCCCCCAGAGCCGTCATTTGAAGAACGCTATGGGCTTGCACCCATTGAGAGTCTCGCCCCCTACCATAGTCTCTTGCCCTCAATTGAAGAGCAGGATGCCTCTCCGAGTATCAACCAACCCGCGCCTCACGAGCCCCCAGAGCCGTCATTTGAAGAACGCTATGGGCTTGCACCCATTGAGAGTCTCGCCCCCTACCATAGTCTCTTGCCTTCAATTGAAGAGCAGGATGCCTCTCCGAGTATCAACCAACGCGCGCCTCACGAGTCCCCAGAGCCGTCATTTGAAGAACGCTACAGGTTTACACCCATCGACAGTCTCGCGCCTCACGATACAATTGGGTCATTATTTGATGAAAATTATGCAGTTGCGAGCCCCAATCAACCCACGCCTCACGATACAATTGGGTCATCCTCTGGAGAACGCCGTGGGTTTACACCTATCGAGCAACCCGCGTCTCACGATATCGATGAGCCGTCATCTGGAGAACTGCATAGGTTCACAGGCATCTACGGACCTGGGCTTTACGACTCTCCTGAGCAGCTGTTTGGAGGGCAGAATGCATCTACACAGAACAAGCCTCCTGATCAACAGGAATCTCAATAATTGCCGGACTGAGGATTCTCTTGTTGAACTTCTACGGCTTTGTTATAAAAAGGTGGGCCGACTGTCTGACAGAGCTGAAGCTTGTTGGAGTATACATTACCCGTTCTCAACCAACTCTGATTATACATTAAGAAGGCTTTATACAAGTCTGGACGATTTCAAAATTCCGTCCTCCGTCATTCCTCAACTCAGAATCTATGGCCTTAGCTAGCACAACCAGCCTAGCACCCGTCCACCTCGTCAACTCCCCCTTCAAGCGCTTGCGCAACTACCAAGCCATCCCCACCATCCTCGAACAATCAAGCAACCAACAGGCTCCCCTCAGCCTCGCTCCCATAAACCTGTCCGTTCGGCGTATACGTCAACAGATACCTCATCTGCCCATACACCTGATCCCACCTCCAGCCTTTGATCCAGTACGACTGCTGCTGCAGGTTTGACTCGGCGTCGTAGTGTGCTTTGTTGTAGACGCGTTGGCCGATTTTGAAAGAGGGCTGGTGTTGGGAGAGTCAGCTGGAGATGACTTTGCTTTCTTTCTGACAATACTGATAATGGTGATGATGCATGCGTGCGTAAGTACGTACCCTTGGATGCGGCAGCCTGGCGGAGGGGACGGGGTCGGCGCGTTGCCAGGTTGTGGTTGTGGAGGGCGGAGTTGGGGGGAAGAGGCGGTTGAGGAGGGTTCGTGGGGGTTGCATTTTGGATGGCGATGGCGATGGCGATGCGAGGGTGTGTGTGTATGTTGGGGGGGGGATTATGAGGGAGGTGAGGATTCTAGCTGTGAATTAAAAGAAAATGATGCTTTTTGTCGCTCAAAGACATGTGTAGAATTCTATGAGGATCGAATGAATCAACAGATTGGAGAGAAAGAGAGAGAATGTAGAAAAGAAAGGCAAAGAAAAAGAGGATACAGTTTGTGACGCCTTGGAGAGAGCCTCGTTTGAAGGGGTGCCGCCTCAGACCGTGCAGCTGCAGCGCTTGCGGCGACAATAGTTATCGATTGGTGCATCTACCCGGTCGGGCAGCCACGTTCCGGAAACGATGAGGGAGGAGGCTGAGTGAGGATGAAAACAAAGGATTGGATGTCCAAATTTGGGCAGACAAAGCGAAGTCTGGCGCGCCTGTTTCTCATCGGTAAGGTAAGCTAGTGCTGGCAAGGGCGGTAGCGCGAGATGTTGAAGATAGATGTTAGCTCTTAGTGTTATATATGTATGATGCTTCATGATGATCTCGAATGGAAATGGGCTATGCTGGCACCCAGATATACCTCTCCGATGCACAGGAATATAGATTGCAACAGGCAGCCGACGAGCCGAGATGCGTGCGTACTTGCAACAGGGTATCGACCTCCGCCCTCCGATGGCCAATGCAAGCCCAACAAGTAGAGATGTCGTATACTCATCGCTTCATCAATCATCCTCGAGGTCAATCACCTCACGAGGCGCACTCTGCCTCGCCACCGACACGCTCGCGGTCCTTGCTGCCGCCAGCCCCGCACTCTTCCTGCCCGTGCCGTCCCCAGACTCGCCAGTCGCCTCTTCCTCCTCCTTGATCTCCCACTCTCCAGAGTCGTGAAGTATGATCGCCTTTGCGTCCAATTTACCTCTTTCTTTGAGCGCCGTGCGTACGTCCACGAAGAATGTGTCAATCATCAGACTCTGTGGCCGGGCATCCTGGCCGCAGATAGGGCACCTGAATTCATCTGGTCCACACGGTTCGCCGGGGACTTTGGCAGTACGCGTTTGTAGGAAGGTATCGCGGTCGAAGCATTGGTTATGGTGGCAGTTTATTCCTCTCACCGGGACATCGAAGATGCGGGCGGTGAAGGGGTCGGTGAGGTCAAGCACCTTTTGTGATTGGATGACTTCGATCTCCGGATCCGGAGTTTTGGACTGATCTAGAATGCGCTTGCGGGCCTCGAGCCATGGGAGAATCTTCATCTCATCATTGATCTTCTGCTCGTCGACGACCTGTATGATTTCTACTCCAATGGCAAACCTGGTGTTGCTATCTTTTTGAAAACCGATGACAGCGGTCGAGAGACTGTTCTGGCCCTCTTTAATATAAGACGTCACGTCGATAGGAAGGTCTTTTCCGTGATGTGTCTTCTTCCGAATGTCAAGCGCAATTCCGTTGAGAACGACGGCGGTGCTACCTGGCCAGACATTGTCTGCAACAGCCCACTCATTCTGAGTAGGCATCCCAGCTCTGTCCTTGAGACTTATGCAGCGGATTCGACAAAGCCGAGAGCCTGGCACGATCGCCCTTGTTGAGGGAGCCCCATGAGAACCGGGGGTATCACGTGCGAACCAATCGGTGAGCTCTTTGCTCACGCTGAAGTCCCAGCTCACATGGCGACTTTGGCTGTTGAGCTCCTCGGGAGGCATTAAGATATGCTTGATAAATCTGTAGCACTTTGCCATGCTGCTTGGATTCTCCTTCGGGTCAAAGTATGCCAGTGTTGGACTCCTGAGGTGAGCTTGATGGAGAGCGGACACGGTGGGATTTGCATGAGTTGGAAGAGCAGGGTAGGAGCGTATGAATGGAGTGGGGTTCGTATGGGGCGGAAGAGAAGAGGAGGAGTGTATGAATGGTTGGGGACTCAGTGCCGGCAGACTTGTTTCACTTGCGTGGTTGCTAAAGGATCTCCGATTTTCAGGCTGTGTACGGGGCCGAGGATTAGCAATGTTTGAAGATGGTACTCGGTTATGAGACTGCTGTTGCAGTCCAATATTCTGCTGGATTTGGTGCACATGAGAATGTCTGGGCACGTTTGTTGGTAGCACATACGGTGTTCGTTGGGCTGGCGTCGTCGGCAATGGATTGTCGTGAAGATTATCAAGAGCCCCCAATGAATTTCCCGCAATACCGGACGTGCGACGTTCCCTCTGGTGCTGCTGACCGATTCGTTGCCCGGGTGAGTTCATGGAGGCACCTGGACTAGAAAAGCCCTGCAATGTCGTAGGTGATTGTGTAAAGTTGCTAACCTGCGGAGAAGGAAATCTATTGGAGGCTAGAGTTTGAAATTGACTCAAAAGGTTGCCTTGTCTACAGATCTGAATTTCCTGGATCGCTATGGGCGCTGGGCCCGACACAGCGGATAGACTGTGGCGCTGTGCTGCGTGTAGATCGACTGGCAGAGGAGATTGAGTATTCTTGTTGTGCTCAGACTGAGACGTATTGCGTCTGTTTGAATTTGCGTTTGCTGGGGCTAGACGAGCCTGACTCTGTTGCTGCCGCGGAGGAGCTACACTCGCCGTTGGCTGTGCGACTGTATGTCCTCGGTGGAACCCCAGTGCTTGCTGATAGTCCTTGATAACAGCCTGTTGGTAGAGCGTTACTAATTCGACGGGGATGCTGCCTGATGACAAGCGGCTCATGACATCTTTGTAGTCTCTATTGAATACTTCTTCAGTAATGTAAAAACAATCATCCGGCTTGCCAGGCCATATGTCCCTCAACACTGCGCGGAAAATGATCTGCTGGAACAGAAATGATTCTACATTGAAAAGCACAATGAGCTCGTCGACCAGAGGCGGATACATCCTTTTCGTGCATCGAGACCACATGTCATCCCAAAACGTTGCCATCTTCTCTAGACATCTCAGTACGCTAGCGTATGCGGATGCAAACTCTGGCCTCTTCATAATCAAGTCCACTAAAGGTAAAGGAAAGGTCGAAAACCATGAAACGGCCTCGTCGACCATTTTTCCATTAGAAACCAACAAAAAGGCAACCACGTCCAGGCCCTTTCTGTGCATTTCGTTGAGACCGGGTATCTGTCTATTTGACTTTCGAACTTCGTGGTCGAAGCAAAAGAGTTGATGCAAGACTAGATAGAAGTGATCCGATTTTTCGCAGGCCTCGCGAAGCAATCCTAAACGTGGCCGCTCGATATGGCTACCTTCGCGGTTTGGCAAAATTGTGACGAGCTGCATCCGTTGTGTCAGGGCCCAAAAGAATGGATGCATCTCGATTCCTGAAGGACTGACGGCTGCACTACTCTGACCTTCCTGACTGGGTAGCGCTGTAGTCTTCGATGGTATTACTAAAGCGTCTTCGGAAGATGAGCCGGAAAGGCTTTGCAGTCGCTTCCTAGGCTCGTTCGTGACGTCTTGCGGGCGTTTGTTGGCGACGAAAGCTGGAAGATCATGATCAGCTTCCGACCTTGGTTGGCTCTTGGAGCCCGGAGGCCGACCTTGTTGTCGAGGACAGCTCGATGAGCTAGCGCCAGACAATTCTGGTGCAACCGCATAAGCAGCTATCTGACTAGGCCCGTAGTTACTTTTTCCAGCATCCTTGAGCAGTTTCTGAAACTTGTCCATGCCTCCGCATCTTGTCACGAGCTCCTCTAGGGTTGCCGTTGGGGCCTGGACCGGCCGGGCTTCGGCTGGTTGAGGCTGTGGTCCTTCGTCTTCGATTTCTACCGCATGGACGCTGTTTTGCGGAGCTTCCACGCTTGGGCTTGGAGATGGGAGTACATTCTCGGCGTTGGCAGAGACGTCCATCGGAATTGCCGGTGGGGTGTATGGATTTTCTTCTAGCGCCGGCGGCGATAGGACCGGCGGAGTTGAGCCGGCAGCGAGAGAAGTTGAAGGCCTAGTTGTGTGATTGTTTGCGCCTCCCTGCATCTGCAGTTGCGCAGGGTAGCTGCCACGGTCGGAGTCGGGTCCGAATGCTGTACTAGGCAGGTCGCTGTTCTTCCCAGTCACGGATACCTCGGGCGCCAACTCAGCTCTACGTGAAATTATTGATGCTTGCTCTTGGGCTTTCGGCATGGAGACTTTTGGAGTGGATCGATCTCGTGTGGACTGCGGTGATTGGCCTGTCATCCAGGCTTTTTGTGTGCCACCTATGAAGGCATTGGTAGTTGAATTGGACCGCTGAAATTCGTCCGTCGTCCGCGTCTGGGCTTTGGCGGCACGCATTTTGGCCTGGATTTTGGAAGGCTTCTCTAAAGCCTTCGTGAATTAATGGAAATGAGTCTGTTGAAGCAAAGTTGAACCGGCAAATATGCCTTTCTCGCCGAACAGGTACCAGAGGGAATCCACTGACAGGCGGAATTGGCTCATGGGAGCTTTTTGCTCATGATCTACCCATCAGTGAGCCCTGCTAAGAGCAACGTTGAGCATCGTGATGTATATGAATACGACTTGATGAACCTGCATCATATCTGAGGCAGGAACCTATTACAATGAATGCTTCCAAGGCAAAACTTTGACCAATCTTGGACTGACCCACGTCAAAGTAGGGCGTAAAGTCCAGTGCATTGAGTGGAAGAAGGCTTGAAGATTGGAGGTGTGACAGCGGAGGCTGGTCTTCTACGGCGTATATGTACCTATCCCTGCCCGAGAAAGAAACGTCGACACTTGAAGAACTTGTTTATAAGCACCAGGAAGAGCGGTGGTGTCTTTCCCGTATTCGAGTGATGCGTGCTGAAGTCTGTGTGAAGATGTTTTGATGGATTTGAGATTGAAAGCAGATACGAGTACCTTACCTGTCACGCTCTTAAATCCCCTGCAGAGGCTACTCTTAAGGGAGCCTTGCCCTTCTGGATATAGTGCCCGACTAGCTCCCCTTAGCTAGGTATGCGCGCGAAAGTGACCGCTCCGAGCGCCTTGGGAGCCGGAGAAGTTGGCAATCGATTTGCTCCTCCAGCAATCAAGTTCACCAACATCTGCTATTCATCTTGCTCATAACACATCAACTTCTCAATCGCAAGCGCTACATACACAAACCACTATATCGTAGGACTGCGGAACCGGAACCTGTCGGAACTATCCAAGGCAGAACATTTTCAGCCACCAAGCCCGTCATTGGATCATTTGCCGCAAGATTGGGCATTTGTTGGCTGAATGGTTCTCCTGGGAAAAAGGCCGAAGCATACGCGATCCATCAAATGCCGTTCCAGACCAGGCGGACATTCTAGTCGAGTGCGCCTGCGCCGACGTGAAGACCGCCTCTGATGAGTTGCCCCGTTTGAAAGGTAACGGGCTTTGGGAAGACATCAACGCATCAAACCAGCTTAGCCATGGCATCGAGACATCTAAATGGGTCCACGAAGAAAGCCGAGCATGGGGACATGCTACTGGTTGTTCGTGAGTTGCCCTCCATCTTTTACGTTTGACTTGCTGGCCTGGAGTCTACGTGCATATCCAAACACTGCTATGTTTCCAGACATGGGAACATCTCTTTCAACGCTCAATGCCATCGGAATAAAACCACCAATCTTTTTGCTGACGATCGGTCGTCTAGATGACTTTGAAGCTAGAAGCCCAGATGAATTGAGCCTCCGCAAGGGAGACAGAATCGAGCTCATAGAAAGAGACGACGATTTTGGAGATGGCTGGTATCTTGGAAAGCACATACAGAACGGCAAGACAGGGCTATTTCCTGAGGGTGAGATCTCCGTAAGTGCTGATGGTGTAAGGAGGCTGACACTCTGTTCGAAAGTCTACACAACAACCACACCAAAGACCATCCAAGTCTCTGCAACCACCATGTCCACAGCCGCGAAAGTTGTGGCCGGCAACACAAGCAATCTCCATAAAAGTGATCCATCCCGAAAAGAAGGGCAAAAACAGGGAATAGCAACGCTATCTTTGCAAGGCTCACCTGAGCCTATAAATTCTGACGGCGCAACTCCACCACCTCTGAACACCACTCCGCCGTACCAGAGGACAGTTTCAGTCCCGAGTGTCTCTATAGGATCCCAAGCGATGGCCGCTACTACGCCTACGCAAAGAAGCCTCAGTATGATGCATCAAGGGCCAGACGAAGATAGCCCAGTGATGAATGAAACATTGAGTGTGATTGATGAGCATATTACAGACATGAAGAATCCTCGGTCTGGAGGGCTGGCAGCCGCCAGGAGGCTGACGAATGAGTCTGGAAGCGAATACAGTACACACATCGATCAACGAACATCCTATATAAACGGCCACGAAACAGACGAAGAAGAGCGCAACCTTCACACAGAAAGAGAGGTGTTGACTTGGTCGCCAAGACAAGTAGCGGAACACTTGGAGGATATAGGAGTGGAGCCGAGGCACTGCGAGGTCTTCAAAGAGCAAGAAATATCTGGAGAAATTCTTTTGGCAATGGATCAGTCATCAATTTTCATGAAGGAATTTGATCTTGGTCCAGTAGGACCCCGACTGCGAACCTGGTACAAAATAAAAGCGTTGCAAGAGGAAGTCCGAGGACCTGAAATCATGAGGAAACAAACGACGAACATGATGAGTAGCAATGCATCGTCGGATGATCTTCGTCTACAGAGAGCAGGGTCTGCTGCAGGGTCAACATTTTCAACGAACTTGTTCAGCCAGCCAAGTCCTGGCTCTCCTCATCAAAGACACGGCTCTCCGTATATCCGAAATGATGGGCCGAGTCCTCAACCCTCACCGTCACCCCAACTGCTGCATTCTCAAAGGCGAGATGCAAGTTCTACTCCGGTCTCTTTCACATTCAAATCTGGACTAGACAGTCCAGGTAGACCTTCGGCTGCCTCAGTTCGTGAGTTCAACCATTCACGTCGCCATTCTGCTGTCGATTTCGCCTCAACATTGAGTCCAGCAACTCCAACCATACCGGATGAATCTTCAACATCTAACCAAATTAACATCACCTCACTGCATAAGAAATCTCCTTCCCTTGATCGCAACTGGGCAATGGGAGGTCCTCATCCTGCAATGAACGGCCGACCACGCTCTGCTACCAGTGGAAGCTTGTTTCTTCGCAACACCTTCGACCCGCATGCTACAGAGTCAAGTCAATCTCATGATATCTCACGCGATCTTGACCGCGAGTACGTTTCTGGCGGCGAAATGGATGGCAAGAAAGCACGAAACGTGTTAAGAAAGCGCGACACTACTAGCGTGAATCACTCACGGCAGAGCTCTTACCATGCAGAGACCAAACGACTGAGCTTTGCGGGAGCAATGCGCCACTCTCGTTTTAGCAGCGTTGATTCTATCAAGGATACTGTAGCAGCTCTAACCTCTCCTGCGACCAAGCTGTATCAAAACAACAATTTCATGGGGCACTTTCGTAACTCCTCTGCCAACGAGGCAGTAACGGCGACGCCATCAACGGCTGATATAAGTTCACCAACTGTCACTAAGCTTGAGTATGACAGCAAAAACACAAGTACAAAGCCAAATATGAAGATAATAACGTCGTCAACCGACGCCAGCAATGGAGCAGCTTCGAATGGCTCACCGAAGTCGGCAGTCGCTCCCGCTAAGTCAATCTCAAAGCCTCGCATGGGTCTCCGGGCTATTTCAGACGCCGTTACCGGCACCGAGAGGGCTCTTGTCTCCACTCCAGCTTCAGTCCCATCACCAATCAAGGAGGCTTCTGTACAATCTCCTGCGCGTACAGGTTCCACATCGCCCTCTGCAGCGTCTCAGAGCATCGAGCGAGAGAGTACCGATGCTTCTTCCAAGGATACCAGTGGCGCACCTACAAGACTCACACCTACCAGTGGGACGCGTCGGAAACCGAAGAAGGAGACCAGCGCATACATCCGCGGCCTGGAGCATAAGTCTCCTAAGGATCAAATGGAGGGTTGTGATTATAGTGGCTGGATGAAAAAACGGTCGTCCAACATCATGACGACTTGGAAGCCTCGACTTTTTGTGCTGCGCGGCCGCCGTCTCTCATATTACTATGCCGAGACAGATACACAAGAGAAGGGTCTCATTGACATTTCCTCTCATCGCGTCCTCCCGGCCGATCGCGACATCATCGCCGGTATCCACGCGACCGTGACTGGTGCAAAGTCCTCTCCAGTGTCGCCTGCAACCGCCCAGATGCCGACTTTAGCCTCCGAAGATGCAGCAACAATACAATCTAGATTGCCTGTTCAGAAAGCTGATTCGGACTCGATGTTCATCTTCAAGCTCGTTCCACCCCGTACTGGTCTCTCCCGCGCCGTCAACTTCACGAAACCAACTGTTCATTATTTTGCCGTCGAGAATATCGCCCAGGGCCGTCTGTGGATGGCCGCGTTGATGAAGGCAACCATTGACCGTGACGAGACCAAACCCATCACCACCACATATCAGCAGAAAACCATCAGCCTTGGGAAAGCAAGGGCCATGAAACAGCGACCCCCAGCGCTCATGAACCTCCTTCAAGAGAAGACTGAAGGAGGGGGAAACGAAGTGAAAAGCGAGGGGATGGGCTTGAATATCCAAGGGCTGGAACAAGACAAGGAAGGGACTGGGAGCTTAGATTGTGCGCTACCACGACCGACGGAGGAAGAGAATAATGTGGATGAAGCGAAGGAAGAGTAATTAGGGAACGAGCAAATATCTTCATTCATCTAGAACATTTCGACGACTTGAATTGCAAGAGGGGACTGGCACTCGGCAGCAAGGCGTCAGGGAATATGTCTCTAATGGCATGGAGGAATTCAGGATATGAACCTGTAATAAGATACTCTTTGTATGTTTTAACTTATAATCAACGGCTTACGAGTCGTGTTCTGATTCAGCTATATACACTTTGTGCTCGTTCGAGGGTTTGCAACCAATGGACTGCAAACTGTGAGGCTGTGAGGAGGAAACGCCGGGACCCACGTGACCCACGTGACCGATATTTGCTGCAAGACATAATTCTAGAGTACGCTCTACGGTTGCTGCCGGAACTCAACCCATGAAAGTAGGTAAGCCCTGTACCAACAAGAATAATGTGCCTCCATCTGTGATACTAATGCGAAGGCCCAGATCTTTTCGATCTCTTGGATCTCTTGGATCTTCTCGATCTTCTCCATGACTGGCGAATGGAAATCCCGAAGCAGGCGGTCAAGAAAGACACTTGTTCCGATTCATATGTTCACCGCCAGACTTTGGCCACTCCCCACTATTGAGGAGGTCTCTCCGCTGACCCTGGGCCGCACTTCTGCCATATTCGATGCTTCGCTTTCAAATGCAGATCCCTGATTATGAGACCCTATTGGTGAACCACAGTACGATGCCTGCTCATTGAAACAGGACTGGCTTAAAAGAATTGCGACTTTTGTAAAATAGCAAAAGAGCAAATTAGGCCGGCCGGGTGGAACACTATTAGGTACTGTGCTCCTGCAGTTTGACCGGCAATTGGCTCAAAGTACCGTAGAAGCATTGGATTGATGCCCAACGCAAGGGCGTGAAGTGAAGTATCATTTGTAAAGATCATGAATCAGAAAGCTTGGTGCTTCTCAATGGGTCGCAAGCGCAAGAGTCGGCGAGATTCCATGTCTTTTGTAAGTAGAAGAAGAAGAATGAAGAATAATAGAAGACTCATACATATGGCAGCAGCAGGCAGTACTGTATTAAAAATAGACCTACCGTACTTTACCTATTAATCCGAGGCAACAGATGGTTCGCACATGTAGTTTTGAAATACCCCGCCAGCTGGAATCTTGAAAAAGTACCTTGACGATACATGCTTTTGATCGCGTAGACACAGCAAAGTAAAAAGTCACGGTGGAGGTAACTACTAAAATCTTTCCTGCACATGCCGTGGCACTACTTAACAAATTTGGCGCACTAGCGTGACGCTCTCCCCTCCACTCGGATTTTCCCACTCTCAGCTTTTTCTTTTCCACTCTTCAGCACAAAGTTCAACTTCTCGACCTGCTCATTCAAAAGCATTTCTTCCGCGAATCTTTTCCTCTCGCCTTCGTGTCCCTTGGTGTCGCGGGTGTTCTTGATTTGTGGCTTTCGACTCGCGGTATCAGCTTTGTCAGTCCGTTCCAAGTCAGCGTCTTAGTGATCTGGTGAGTGGGCAAGCTTCCTTTTTTCTCCCGCTGCCACACTGCGCTCATCAAGGCCTGCAAATTCACTCCGATTGAGTCGCATCAGCTGGATCCCGAGTCCTCTAGCTCCTGAAACCCCTCATCTATCACTCAGGCACGGATTGAGCAGGCAAATTCGAATGGCCTGCCGCATTCACTGCTGAAAGTCTTGGCATGGCTGAACACTTCACCCAGCGGCCCAAGTAACACAGTCAACTCATGCTTGCTCTTCGCAAAGGCACATTCACTGTCAAACGCAGAGTCACAATTTTCATCAGCGCTTGAGGCTAACAACATGAGGCCTAGGTCAGCGAGCGTGAATCTTCTTCAAACCCGATTGCTTCACCCCACAGAAATCCTTATTTGAAAAGTATTAATATCCCGCACCGCTGGAGCCATCCTTTCAAAGTCTCTCCACACCACATCCACAATAACATCCCTTTGCTATCAGTTTCTCCTTTCTACTTGGAGTTAAATATCAGCGCAAGCAAGCGGTCATCAAATCATATATCTCTGGGCACTCGGATTTCCCATCCCTTCGAGCAAGCAGGCACTGCGAAGCACTGAGTGTTGAAATTGCGTTGTCTACTGCATCGGCTGGAGAATACAGAAGCATCTAGGTACGTCTAAAATACGCAAAACAACCTAGACTTAGTACCGTCTACTGCTCGGGCATAATTAACAGATCCTCCTTAGTTCTCCCAGTTCCAAACATCACTAAATCTCTGTCCCTCCTTTCCACAACCCTTTCTCACTCAACTATCCGAGCCTAGCGACACTCGGCACAATGAGTTTCCAAAATTACGACAACTTTCCCCAACAGGGTCAGCAAGGAGATGGTGGAGCTGGCCCCGGCGGTCCCCCACAACAAGACCAGAACATGGGCGGGCAGATGCCTCCCAACTCTGCTGGTGGTTTCCAAGGTGGTAACGGCGGTGATCCCGGATCCGCAGGTGGACAGTCGCAAGGAGGCGATGCGAAGACGACCTTATGGTATGATGTTCCCTCCCCTCTTGCACTCTGGCTTTGGCTGCAGTAGTCAACACGATGCCTCGATCAAACCTCATGCAGTAAAGGCTGATAGTGATACAGGATGGGCGAGCTTGAGCCCTGGATCGACGAGAACTTTGTACGGACAGTTTGGTACAACATGGGCGAGCAAGTCAATGTGAAGATGATTCGTGACAAGTTCTCTGGGTAAGCCGGTCACTCCGGGTCTTCTAAACGTCTGCCGATGCGTACTGATCTCCAGCAGTAATGCTGGCTACTGTTTTATCGATTTTCAGAGCGCTGAGGCTGCCGCCAAGGCCTTGACTCTCAACGGTACCATCATTCCCAACTCCAACCGTCCATTCAAGCTGAATTGGGCATCTGGCGGTGGTCTGGCTGACCGAAGGTATGCTTTCTCCGCCGTATTTGCAATAGACTTTGCTAATGTCTTAGCCGCGACGAGCGTGGCCCAGAGCACTCAATTTTTGTTGGCGATCTCGGGCCGGAGGTCAATGAATACGTCTTGGTTTCTCTCTTCCAAAATCGCTTCCCATCATGCAAATCCGCCAAGATCATGACAGACCCAATCAGCGGAATGTCCCGCGGCTACGGTTTTGTTCGCTTCTCAGACGAGGGTGACCAACAGCGCGCATTGCAAGAAATGCAAGGGGTCTACTGCGGCAACCGACCCATGCGCATCTCCACAGCAACACCAAAGAACAAGACCGGTGGTGGAGGGCCAGGAGGTATGGGCATGCCAGGTCCAGGTGGCCCAGGAGGCGCACCAGTAGGCGGCATGAACTACATGGGAAATCCTCCTGTCGGATACTACGGCCAGCCTCAGCCAATGAACCAGTTCACCGACCCGAACAACACCACAGTCTTCGTTGGAGGGCTTTCTGGATATGTCACGGAGGACGAGCTCCGCTCTTTTTTCCAAGGTTTCGGAGAGATCACCTACGTCAAGATTCCTCCTGGGAAGGGCTGCGGTTTCGTTCAATTTGTCCAGCGTCACGCAGCAGAGATGGCCATTAATCAGATGCAAGGCTATCCCATTGGCAACTCACGGGTCCGTCTCAGCTGGGGACGTAGCCAGAACAATTCTGGTCCTGCCGGCACTCCATACCGTCCTGCCCCTCCTCCACCTGTGTACCCATCTATGGGAATGCCTCCTTCTCACCCTTACGGCAATTTCGCTCCAATGAAGGTATGCATCCATATACCATCCTCACTAAAACGAACAGTGCTAACTTTCTTGTAGTAAGATACCCCCTATTCTTCAAGCTTTCTAGGCGGTTTTCCTGTATCAGGCATTCGCGGTGAACTCTCGAATTTGCCCTTCGCTTCTTGAAATGGCCTTCGCTCGAGGGCTCCTTCTCCGATTAGCGTTATCAATAGAGGAATACACGGAGGAAATCTGCAAAAAGTTTCTTTGCTCATCTCATAGCATGCGAGTCCACGGGGTGGCTGTACAGCAAGAGCGCCTTTCAGGGCGAGGACACGAATGCTACGAACCCTTCCCCATTCCAATGTACCTACTCCTGAATGTGTTGTATGGCTTGTTGTTGCCTGGGTTTTCCTGATAGATGTGATCTTGTTTACTAATCACAGAGTACTGCACTGTTCTTACTTCCTAGCCTTCTCCTCTCTATGTACAGCCAAAGGCGTTCCTTCCTCCCCAGTCTTTACTTAGGGTTTTCTGCACCTTTGGAACTCTGCTGAGAGCTCCGCCCAGAATGCTGCCAAACAAATCAGATCTGCTGACCACACCTGCCTCTTAGTCCCAACGCAGCTCACATGCACCCACCTCATAGCCCTGGCAGAGGCCCTCCGCAAGGTCCCCCCGGAGCCCTCTCGCCCGGCGCTCCTGGTCCGGCAGATCCTATCCCAGTCAACCAGCTTAACGACATGTACATGCAGCAGCAACAGGACGTCAGCAACCGCCTTGAAGCAGATGGCAGGGGGTATGGAAATGTCTTCTCTCAATAGGCAATTCCCAGGGGTCGAGACTGGGTAGGGACTAGATTCATAGTCTGCTGTTTGTGCGATTGTGAAAGCAAAGATTAAGCGACAGGAGTTGGGGAGTTTCTTTGCACATCCTCTCTGATCTTCGAGGGCGGAGTGCAAGGAGAGACGAGAAGGCGGAGGCAATTTCCTTGTATCATTAGGCATCTTAAGCATGGCTGGCAGCGACATGCCGGAGGTTGCAGATCACGAGTGAGTGGAGAAGATTCTCTTAGCTTTAGCATATCTTGAGTTTCGGATATGATAGACCTAATGGTATGCTTGCGATTTGAAATGCTGGTAGCTCTTGCGTAGAAGTCGCAAGGCTCTTTCCTCCCATTTGACTTGCACTCACTTACACGTTTCACAGCGTGGCAGGTGCAGCCTGCTCGTAACATCTACCTCAAGAGGAGTTTCTCAGACTATTAACTCTGTCTCATCCTCTATGGCATCGCAACGCCATCGATCCACTCGAGATCTTTGAAAGCACTGGCAGGATCCATTACAAGCCCAAGTCGCAGCAATGAGGTACCAAAATTGGGACGTCCTCATCTTCCCTCTGGTTGGAGACTCGAAGACTCCACTGCAGGAGTTTGGGACCACTTGTACCGTCAATCAAGACCCTGGTGAGGATATTCTAAAGCTAGCTTTGTACACCGCAGCTGACGAGTACAACAATAGACGTCGTTCCCTTCCAAAGCCCTTCTGCTCATCCAGCCTACTTGGCCGTCGTGAGGGCCCCGTTGCCGACTGTCTCATGCTTTATACCTAGTCTCCCGCCTGGGTCCCCATTTCGAGTGTCGTTACATAGCTGGTCCACACCAACGGTTAGCCGTGGGAGTGTGGCTAGAGCTCCTCAACAGAGCATGGTGGGGTTCGAGGCTAAGGTCGTGCTTGATGGCGTCTGCATTGCGTTTGTCACAGTGCTTCTCGTTTTGCTCCCTACTATGAGTTGGCTGACGGACGATGGCAGAGGTGCCTTGTTGAATAAGGATCCTCCTTGGCCTCAGATGATTGGTGAGTAGGTACAAAGTGCCTCCAAGTTCCGCTACGCTAACACTTCTCGCTACAGATATATGCTCTCGTATGCATACTTACACGTCACCGAAGAAACTTTACGCTGACGCAGGGCTAGACACGGACAAAGATGGCAACCACGACCAGCTTCGATTCCCTCCATTCCATACAGAGGTACTGACGCAGACTTGGGCCAGTCCTGCTCAGGACATGGGAAGAATCAAGATCGTCATCACTGAAGGGATCAACCATGGGCCAGGAGTGTCCGCGTTTGAGAGAACAAAGAACCTAGTCTCGTTCTCTTTTCAGCATGCTCCTTTACGTGAGGTAGAATTCAAACATTTCAAGCTACTTATGCTAACATTTTGCAGATATACTGGAGAATTGTGGCATCGCTTGGCCAAACCAAGGATTGTACTTTCAGGCTGCACAGCAATTCCACCACGTATCGTCGCCTCACACGCAAGCAGCAGATCCGGATATGCATGCCCATTCTCCACGCCGCCGAAATGCATCAATGGTCAGTGCAGGTGCAAAGCTCAATCCAGCAATAGGCCCATTACCGAATCCGGTACCCGGATTTCGTCCTCTTGGACTCCACAATGATGATCCTTTCCGTTCCCAGCATGGCCCAACGCCTGGACCGTTCACTGGTGCAGCCAATCTCTACAATTACCGAAACCCATGGAGCAGTAATACTACGACCTCAGGTGATATTTCTATGAAAGACCGGTCTCGCTCTACTTCAGACAGCTATGACGAACCGATGCCAGATGTCACTCGTCCTCCGTCACCGGCGAATAGCCGCCGCAGCCATCCTATGCCCGACTACTCTCGCCCTCACTCACTAGCAAGCAGTCGCCAGGTCTCCTGGTATACAGGTGAAGATTCGGGTGCAATGAGAGTTTCTCACCTTGGCTACGTGGAGGAAAATGCGGAAATCGACGAGCAAGTGAGCGAAAGCCTATTCAGTGACTTGATGACTCGGTTGAGTCCCCGAGAATTCTCAGCCAACAGCGGCATTTCTGCTCCATCAAATACCAGAGTCAACAGTGCAGCCAACACACCCCCAGGAAAATCTTCAATGGCGGCGGAGCTTAGAGGCGTCTCGTATGCCGGCATGCCTCGTTCCGTGTCTGTCACAACACGAGACCCTCCACCCTCATTCAATACACGTGTAGCATCGAATAACAGCATCAACCCTGGCTTTGACAACCCCACGTCAGCTTCTCGCCAGTCAGAGATCAACGATGCAATCGCCGAAGAAACTGAGGACAGAACCAACAAAAGGCCTGTTGGAAGGCCCGCAGGGAACGTGAAAAGCAGGAAGGAAGGCCGGACCAGCGAGATGGGCCTTGAAGTACCGAGTATCAAATCTCAAAGACGAGCATCTGCGCCTTCCGCTAGTGCTCTAGGCAAAGAGAACAGTGGAAGCGCCAATGGTGAGAAGTCCGGCGAGGGGAAGCGGAAAAGAACGACCAAAGTTGCTGCGTCGAAGGGCAATTTGAAGGGTGGACTTGACAATCCAGACAGCTCTCCAACGAGGAAGGTCTCAAAGCTGAGTCCAGGAGATACAATGCACCCCGAAAATGAGATCGAGTACGCAATTCCCCCGTGCGTGATTCTTATTCTAGACCAAGGCTTGAGTCTTGGGAGACGTGTTTCTGAAGGTTTTACTCTCAAACAGGCAATGCTAACTACGAGATTGTGATCTAGCGACTTGACGGAAGAAGGGGTTGTCATGAGGGTCCCGCTAGGAGAACTCGACAACATCATGTGAGCGAGGTTCAATATGGAGCATGCTCAGGTCAAGAAGGAAGAAATGCGTTTGTTGTCTCGTTTGTATTGCAGTACGTGTTCGCGTTGTATCAAAATCGGAGCTCTTCCATCCACGTTATGGGTCGTGGGGAAGATCGTCCCGTAGGAGGTACATTGATTATTTTTGAAAATGCCCGAATACGCGTGCATTGTACATTTGCATGTTTTGCATGAGCAGGAACTTTCTGGTGTGTCTCTATCCATCATGGGCACAACAGGTCCAGTAGAGGAGCAGTCTCGCTGGGTTGCTGGATACCGATAGATTCATAGTTATAGAATTCCATACCATCAATGTGTCTATCAAGTCTAGAGATCTTGAAAACACTCTGTGTTCACCGCCCCCAAATCCTCACCCATTTGCTGTGGAAAGCGAGAGACCACGCTAGAAGGCGCAAATGGGTGACACTTTAGTCCTGCTTCCACCACTTCAAATCAAAAGACATTTCATAGGTCTTATTACCCTTCTGTATCAAAGACAGTCTTTGGTGTTGATTGACTGGGTAACTCAATAAGTGGTGAGAACGTCCTCCAGCGACCGCTCAATACCCAGAGAAGGATCGCCATTGGTCGTCATCCACCTTGTCAGACTAACGTTCAGATCAAATACCTACCTCAAAGAACCCTACTCGGAATACAGCTTTGACGCTTTAACCACTACTGTGACATCAAAACAAAAGCACTTTGGGCCTTGAGTATAGTCCAGCCATCTTGCTTCCACCTATCTACTCTACATCCATTCTCTTCTACCGCCACCACCAACCCCACCATGGCTGACGAATCCGCCGCCGACGAAACGCCCATCACATTCAACGTCAAATCCTCCAGCGATGCCAAATATGTCCTCACAGTACCCCTCTCTATGACAGTCATCGACCTGAAAACTAAGTTATCAGGCCCCGAATACGCAGACATACCGCCAGACCGCCAACGCCTCATCTATTCCGGCCGTGTCCTCAAAGATGCAGATACGCTGGGCTCGTACAAAGTGAAAGAGGGAAACACGGTGCATTTGGTGAAAGGTGCTGCGAGCAATCAGAGACAGAATCCGGCAAATCAGGGAAGCGTGAACGCGGGGAGTACAGGGGCACAACCGGCTACGGGCGTGCCTACAAATCTGGCCAGTGGGACGGGGCAGGATCCGCTGGCGGGATTGACGGGGGCGAGATATGCAGGCTACGCGCAGATGCCTAATGCCAATATGTTTGGGCCTGACGGTGGAGTCTGTACCAAGTTGCCTCCCTTTCTCAATCAATCTTGCTAACATGTACATAGATGGGTCCACCACCGGATCCTGAACATATGGCCTCTATGCTCGAAAACCCCAACTTCGCCTCCACTCTGAACGAAGCCCTCGCCAATCCACAAGTCATCGACCAAATGATCCGCTCGAACCCTATGCTCCGCGACATGGGTCCACAAGTCCGCCAGATGATGCAAGATCCTGGCTTCAGAGCCATGATGACGAATCCAGAAGCTTTGAGGAACATATCACAGATGCAACGATCATTCGGCGGCGGCATGTTCGGCGGTATGGGCGGTGGTAGTCAGGCATTTCCAGCTCCAGGCATCACGGATACGACACCAGGCCAGCAGCCTTCAGCGGAAGGGGAGACAGCTACGCCTAGGCAGCCAGATGCTACACCACAGCAACCTCCGAACCCATTTGCTATGTTCGGCAACCCCGCTGGCGCTGGTGGAGCAGAAGGTGCAAATCCCTTCGCAGCACTTTTCGGCCCAGGCGGTATGGGCGGTATGGGCAGGAACACTCCAGGCTCTCCTCCACCAGCTGGCACGCAAGCACCTGGAGCCACTCCACAACCGGGTACTAATCCCATTGCCGATATGGCACGGAACATGATGCAGAACCCACAAATGATGCAGCAGATGATGGGCGCTATGGGTGCTAATCCCACCGCCAATCCTGACCCCAACAATCCGACCGCCAATTCAGCAGCACAAGCCGGCTTCAATCCCTTCACTGCTCTGCAAGGTTTGGGTGGATTCGGTGGTGCAGGAGGCTTTGGCACACCACCACCACCGGCACCGCAGGATGATAGGCCGCCGGAGGATAGGTATGCGGAGCAATTGAGGCAGTTGAATGATATGGGTTTTTATGAATTCGAGAGGAACATTGAGGCGTTGAGGCGGACGGGCGGGAGTGTGCAGGGGGCGGTGGAGTATCTGCTTACGCACTGAGCTGCGAAAGCAATGGACTGAGATCGGAGAAGAGAGCAACTGAGTGACGGCGAGCACGGTGAGGGCCAGGCAGCAAGACTAACACGCATGCTTAAGGTTTCATGAAATAGAGGCGAAAACGGCGTGCCCATTTTGCTGCTAACAGTATCGCTAGCAGTAACTATGCTTAGTATGTACAGCGCAGCTTTCCCATCCAGCTGGCTCAGTGCTTTATCTCGAATTCCCGATCCACGCTCTGCATCCTTCCCCCTCTGAATGCCTCTCTTTCCCTTCTCCACCCATGCAGTTGTAAATGCGACAGATTCCTCTCCATGCTATGCAATGTCATGCAACGTCGTCAAAGCACTGTGCTAAACTCTCCCAAGAAGCAAGAGAAAAGGAAAGAAAGATGAAGAAGACGCTTTCGTCATACTCCCAAAAGACCCTGACTCTTTCGCCGCCGAGGCAACGTCCACGGCACCCCCATCACCACCTCGCCCTCGCTGAAACCCCAGAAATAAACCGCCATGCCTATTATATAATAAATCCCCGCGTTCGTGCCCTGATACAGCAGCAGGGCCGCCAGGCTGCTCAACGGGTAGATGAACAGTCGGGCTTCGATACTCCGATGCATCGCCGCGAGCGCCGTCGTTGCCCTGTTCGGCGCTCTCGGAGGGGAGGCGTTGGAGTCTGTGTGTTTGTGGCCGGTCCTTTGCGACGTGTGGCTGTAAGAGGCGGCGGTGTGGTTGTGGTGTAACCGGGTGGAGGTGGCGGCGCTGGTGAAGAGTGGCAGAGGCCATTCCCAGCATAAGCCGAGCAGGCCGAGGAGGAGGTTGATGATTTGGAGGATCGGGATGGGCCGGACGGCGTGGTCGAGGTTCGTGGTTAGGAAGTCCCAGAAGAGTTTCGGCCAGAAGAAGCCGCTGACCGAGGCGGCGACTTGGTCTGTGAAGTGTTAATGAGTGAGCGGGTGGTGGGGATTGGGAGAGGTGAGGACGTACAGGCTGCGGCGGTGAGGATTATGAGGCGGGCCCAGTGGTTCTTTATGAGTTTGCCCATTGCCAGGAGGAGGTGGGCGGTGATGGGAGCACTATTATCGGAGGTAGGGTCGGGGTTCGAGCATTGTCTGTAGTGGTGGGGCAGAGAGTGAGCGGCGGTATTATTGTAATTAACTGGGCAGCTCAAAGGCTCATGGCGTGACGTGCTATGCTGTAAGACTCGAGTGGAACAGCTGGATTATAGAGTGAGAGCGACGACGAGGTTGGAGGTTGGAGGCAAGGAGTCTCGAAGACGAAATGTGTCGAAGTGGGAGAAGGAGCATTCAAGTTTATCCCACCCCTCTCCCTGGAGCGCATGGAGAAAGCCCATGGTATGCCTGGTACATCGGCATAGGTAACCACAGGCTTGAACTCTGGGATCTTACCGTAATCGACCAATTCGTCTGGAGTCTCTTCACGCCAATCGATAGCTTCATGCAAGCCATGATCCAGAAATATAACCGCCGAGGGTCCAGGACTCCAGTTAGCGTGTGATTTTATGCAGCAAATCACGGGCGGGAGCGGGGGTGGGGGGCAACATGCTAGTGGAAATTGGGAAGGTGGATGGTAGAACTGGACCGTGATTGGAGGGGTGGCGACAAGATTTATGCAAGGGCGGTTTGGGGTGGCTGATATTGTTGTCTTTGCAGATCGTTGCGACAAAGAGCAGTAAGGTGGTGGCACTCTGTGCAGACGCGGCACTGCTGGAGAACATACGGTAGCAACTGATGGAATGAGGAAGTCTGTACTGTGCCGTGCTGTGCTGTGCTGTGCTGTGCTGCTGTGCTGTGCTGTTCAAGAAGAGTGCGTTTGGGAGAGGGAATCAGCTCGAGAGGCTGTTCTAGTTGAAGAGGTCCGCTCTTTGGGCCCCTCTAGAGTCGAGTACGCGCCCAATGGATTGGTGCATTCAATGAATACGGACGGCAAAGGAATTCTGGACATCTGTGCACTGACAGCCTGTAAGCTCGTGACCCTTCATCCTGTAGCTGCGGTCCAGCAGCATATGCTCTCATTAGACTTCCCAAGCCTTGCGGACGAGAGACGATAGAACTGTAGAAGCTTTCGTAGCTTTTGTGATTGCCAACAAAGCGATGGCTCTCTCACGGCCTTTTCTCTTTACTCTTTAGTAGTCACCATGGTCTAAGACTTGCTAAGAGTACCTAAGAAGTTGTAACGGCGTGCTTGAACATGCCGAGCTGCCGCCAATGTCAAGCTAGTGCTCGTAAATATTTAGCGTATTATCTTCAGCGTCTATTCCTCTCCGCTGATTGGCTCTGTAAACAACGTCTTTCCAAACCACTGCAAGCTTCAACGTCCCGAGGCCAGTCATGCATGAAACGCTCAATTCACACAACACAGAAAGCGTTTGGCGCAAGCCTCTTTTACGTACCGTACAGCGAATAGCTATGGCTCAACTCCCTGCCCTTCTCCTCACGGGCCTTTGCGAGTCACGACTTTACGGATACCGGATCAAGGCCATCGATCTCTTAGTCTTATCACACCGCAAGATAACCCCGATTGGGAGACTGCCTCGAGGGCTTATGACCTGATTCTCGACATCTACTGCTGTCTCCACGAGGGCCAAGGATTGCAATCCCACACAAACGCGCGCCCTGATCATATCCAGGTTCCAAGCCAGCATTCCGCATAGGCGCATAAGTGTCTGGCTGAATCTTTCCGAGCGTTCCATAGAGCCATGTGCGACGCTACCGACTTTTCTTTCTACATTTTCGACCCCCTACAGTCCACACCCTGACCGGCACTTCTGGGAGCCTCATACACATTCGGCATTGAAAGACCAAGGAGTACACAGACTCGACGAAATCCTCGGAGTATCTGTCTCAGAACCTACACCATCGGACACGGCGAGAAGACGCCCAGGAGTCTTTCCCGCCGCAGGCTCAGGGCCGCCAACTTAGACACGAGCTTGTAAGAGTTCTGATCTTTGAAGGCCCCTGCTCCTGAAAAGGGCGGAGCCCATCTGCGATACGCAAAGTCGACAACAAAGGACTCTACCTCCCGAGGGGTTCAGCGTACCTGGAGAAATACCTAAGCGCTCAACCCTCAAACCCAATACTTCGAAGTCCTCAGCCCCACTCTGGAGTCTTCTATACATACAGGAATCGAGTTCACAACGTGCGAGGCATAAGGTAAAGAGGTGGAGACCTAAGAATTGGTGGGGTTTCTGTACCCTGGCTGCATGCGGGTTCATGGCATTGGGAAATAGCATCTATAACTCAGGCGGGATCATATCACTCCTGAGGGACAGCATCACGATTGGAATTTTAGCACCTCTTGCCAACCTTGCACCGGCTGTCAGTAACATCGAAAGACGCTTGTGGGACCTTGGTCCGTGCCTTGGATTGTTCTATCTTTTGATATCTGTGGCCCTTCGGCCTGCTCGTTTGCATGATCTCTGAGTGATCTCGAATTTAGGCCACGCATGTTCTGCATTTTATCATATACAAAGGCATATCATCAGCATGGCAGTTGGTCAAAAAGGATGGTTCAGCAAGGAATTGACATGGAGGATGGTAGTTTTCAATGCTTTATTTCATGGCTTACATGTTGGATTATTCATTTTAGGATGGTGAGCTGGATCCCCGGAGAGCTAACGATTCAATGCTGATACATCTGCAGGTCGAAGCAAGCATCTGATAAACGACTAAGTGGACTTAACAAGCTCACATTCTCTGTATGGATTTCTCGGGGCGCCGGTCTGGCACTGTCAGTGGATGGGACGATCATAGTATTGCCAATGTGCAAGAACCTTCTGAGGTGGATAAGACCAAAGATAAGATGGCTACCGCTGGATGAATCGCAATGGTTTCACAGGCAGGTGGCTTACTCTCTGCTCTTCTGGACTTGTGTTCATGTTTGCGCGCATTACGTCAAGTGAGCATCTCAACGCATTCATGTTTTATGCCCTGCTGACATAGATAGCTTCTTCAATGTTGAACGGAACCAGATAAGACCCGAGACAGCAGTGCAAATACACTACACCCAAGTCGGGGGCATAACGGGTCATGTCATGCTCTTTTGCATGCTCATGATGTTCACCACCTCCCACGTTCGAATCCGGCAGCAATCCTACGAAACATTCTGGTACACCCACCACCTCTTTGTCCCTTTCTTTCTCGCCCTCTACACCCATGCCACCGGATGCTTCGTCCGGGACACCGACCTTCCTTACTCTCCTTTCGCCGGCTCGCCCTTCTGGAATCACTGTCTGGGCTATGAAGGCTGGCGCTGGGAGCTTTGGGGAGGCGGTCTATACCTGCTCGAGCGGATCTACCGTGAGATACAGTCTCGCCGCCCCACGCGCATACACAAAGTTATCCGTCACCCTTACGATGCGCTCGAGATTCAATTCTTTAAACCAAGCATGAAATACAAGGCCGGTCAATGGCTGCTTTTGAATGTACCCTCGGTCAGCACAACCCAATGGCATCCTTTTACCATCACTTCTTGCCCTTTCGATCCCTACGTTTCCATTCATGTCCGCCAAGTCGGCGACTGGACTCGTGCTCTTGGTGACGCCCTTGGAGCCGGACCCTCCCAAGCGAAAGAATTCGATGGCCTGGACCTCATGGGCATCTACGAAATCGCTCTACAAAATGGCCAAGAAATGCCCGCCATCCGCGTTGACGGCCCCTACGGTGCTCCGGCCGAGGATGTCTTTGACAATGAGATCGCCGTCCTCATTGGCACCGGCATTGGTGTTACGCCGTGGGCCAGTATCCTCAAGAACATATGGCATCTACGCGCTGGCCCAAATCCACCACGCCGTCTACGAAGGGTAGAATTCATCTGGGTCTGCAAAGACACCAGCTCATTCGAATGGTTTCAAACCCTCCTATCCTCTCTCGAAGCTCAATCTATGGAAGCAGCCGCTGGCTCCGGCGCTGGTCCCGAGTTCCTCCGCATACACACGTACCTCACCCAGCGCTTGGACATAGACACAACGGCAAATATCTACCTCAA